ATTATAGCTGAAAGGCTTGTCGTGGGCTCGTCCACTTTTCTTTTAACTGCCGGTTGTGTTAAAAATGTGTCAATTTTATTGATTTTACGAGCAAACAATGTTTTTTTACAACTTCTTCCCAAGCTTCACGCGCCCTCCCCTGCAATAGTGCTGCACCCCCCTAAGGGACGCACCCCCCAGGTTGGGAACCACTGCTGTAATCCAAGAAGCAACAAAGATAGACAATGGCGGTACATCAACACCACAGAAAATCCAGCTGCCTCTCATGGTATCACAGCAGAGCAGTGTGTGGCAGAGTTGGATGGAAGGACCAACAATCGTAAAGGTCCCAGACTACAAATGGTCTGAAAACCAGGACAGTGCGAAACGCTCTGAGGATGATATTGAGGTGAGAAAACCTGTCTTTGTGCACTTTACAGATGTTACTGAAAGCATGGGCATATTGGACGAGCTGGCATCATCTGAAAAGAGCCGTCTCATGGAGGCTGAAGCTCTGAGAAAGTCTCCTGCTTTTAAGTAAAAGATGTCAAGAATTGGAGGTTGGTACTCATAAAGACGACGCAGACTCAAACAGACAAAAGGCCGACAAAAAAAAAAGGATCGAGCAAGTTAAAGGTACCTTAAACATGGGGTTTCTTACTGTGGAGGACTTGAACAAATCAGAGATGGAGATCATCCACTATTGTCAACGCTGCAGGTTCCTGGCAGAAATCTCGCTGGTCAAAGGTAACAGTCCCATTTGCAAACTAGACCCAGTTACTGTTACAGATACTGCAAGGAGACGTATTGACAGACTGGTGTAACACCAACAACCTGATCCTGAATGTCGATAAAACAAAAGAGATCATTGTCGACTTCAGGAACAAAAAGCACTGTCACCCACCACTCCACATCAACGGCACAGCAGTGAAGACTACAGACAGCACCAAGTTCCTGGGGGTGCATATCACAAGCAGTCTGACCTGGTCCACTCACACGACATCACTATTTAAGAAGGCACAGCAGCGCCTACACTTCCTGCGCAGGTTGAGAAGAGCACAGCTCCCCCCTCCCATCCTCACCACGTTCTACAGAGGAACCATAGAGAGCGTGCTGACCAGCGGCATCTCCGTCTGGTCGAGAGACTGCAACGCCAAAGACTGGAAGTCTCTGCAGAGAGTGGTTAGGACAGCAGAGAAGATCATCGGAGTTTCTCTCCCTCCCATCAGAGACACAGCTCAGAAACGCTCCCTGACAAAAGCCCAGAACATGTTTAAAGACCCCACTCATCCTCACCATGCTCTGTTCTCCCTGCTGCCCTCCGGCAAAAGGGTCTGCAGCATTAAGAGCAGAACAGTCAGATTCTGTAATAGCTTTTTCCCCATGCCATCAGACTGCTGAACAGCAAGTAGACCAGTAACATAAAGATTACATTACGCTGTGTAAAGCGCACATATTTTCTATATAGTATGTCTATTTTATTTATATGTATAGTAGGTCTTTATATTTTAAACACACACTTTATCTTTCATTTTATCATCACCACGCCACTATGCTAGAACTGCTACCCCCGCGACCCGACCACGGATAAGCGGGAGAAGATGGATGGATGGACGTCACTATTATTTATTTATATGTACAATTTTAGCAAGTTTTTATATTGTCCTGTTCCTGTAAGCCAGTACAACGAAATTTCGTTTTAATAGTACACTCTGTGTCTTGTTGAAATGACAATAAAGTATGTCTAAGTCTATTGTGTGAAAAGAAATGTAAGATGTTTAATTGCTGATATATTTATGATCCACGTCACGTTTTCAGTTTTGGCGGCAGTTATTCCTGTTTGTCTAGAAGTCTTCTCATCAGGGCTCTATAAATAGAGAACTACGGCAGATATGTAATATTTAATGCAGCCCAACCGTGTATTACAATGCGGTTATGTGATGACTTTCAAAGAGAAAAGCAAGCACACTCGGAATAATGTATTATTTTATTTTTAAAAGATGCTTTTGAATTTCACATCGCATAAACATCATTTCCCAACGTGCATTGCGGCTGAACCATTGAATCACCGAGCTGAGGATCTAGCTACGTCTGTTTCTGGTATTGTTTTTGACGGTTGTATTTTGTTATACACACATTCCTTCACATTTAAATGTACATTAAAGTATTTCGTAAGGCCTTCTAAAATGTTTTTAAATATAACTACGGTTCTAGTTGAAGAGTTTGTAAATTAACATGAACCAAAGCTGTTGCCTGGCAACGCAATCGCACAATGTCACGTCCGTTAATTCCACATCCACACACATGGATTAACATTGATTTAATACATTAATGTAGCCTTTGTTTCTGCTTAAAAGAGGGTGTCGACCAGCTGAGGCAACAAGAAAATCAGCGTAATTGAGTGTGACTATTACAAAATAAATCATTATTATATTAATATTGACAATAACAACCGACCGTCGGGGTAGCATTTGCTTGGCGTTTCCGGGTATATCTCCACTGGTCGGGCCATGTTAACAATACCTTGTAACTATCACGTTTGAAGGGAAGAAATCGTGACATCTTCACGTCTCCCAGCATGGTAAATCGTCACATGTTCACGTCTTGCCGTGATACCGGGTTGAAATTATCACAGAGCTCAAGTAGCAGACCATCTCAGCATTCACTGTTCAGAGGAGACTGCGTGAATCAGGCCTTCAAGGTCCAATTGCTGCAAAGAAGCCACTACTGAGGATGAACAACAACAACAAGAGAATTGTTTGGGCCAAGAAACACAAGGATTGGATATTAGAGATTGTAAATCTGTATTTTGGCCTGATGAGTCAAAAGTTGAGATTTTTGGTTCCAACCGCCGTGATTTGTGAGACACAGAGAAGATGAACGGATGGTTTCTGCATGTGTGGTCTCCATCGTGAAGCATGGAGGAGGAAGTGTGATGGTATGGGAGGGCTTTTCTGGTGTCAGTGTTGGTGATTTATTCAGAATTTAAGGCACACTTAACCAGCATTCTGCAGTAGCCAGCAAAATAACACTTTTTTGTTTACTAGATAATTCCATATGTGTTCTTAAAGGTATGGAGCATTGTTAACATGAATGATGACCCAAGCCACATTCACCTAGCGGTCGCTCACACATTCCACATGGACTCCGGTATAAATGGTCTTTGTCGCTTCATGTGCAGAAGAGCTCAAATGTCACTTATGAGATCCGACAACGGCACCAACCTAGTCAGCACAGACAGACAATTAGTAAGATTCACTATCTGGTGCCTCTGTGGAAGTGTGACGGGGTTCAATTCGTCCATTCGATACATGGTTTAGTCGGTTGTTTAAGCTCCAAAAAAACTTTATTTGTATCAGAAACAAAAAATATACGAACCAGCATACCTTAAACAAACAAAATAAAAGACAAAAACAGGCCGTCCATCACTCATTCAGAGTAAACGTGTTCTGGCTGTTGCCTTCTCTGCAACAAACCCCCGAACACGTCCCAGCTGTTGCCTTCACTGCAACATTCTTCAGAGTGACACAGTCCAAAAAAAACAAGGAACCAACACCGTCCCTTTTGAACCCATGGCCCCTCCCACAGGCTCACCGTCAACAGGTGACACAATCAACTCAAAACCACATTTCAAGATAAAAATCCGACCCAAACATAAACAGGTTAACCACCTCTTAACACAATCATTCCCCATAATTAACAAAAGTAACAATAAATAAGAAATTGCATGGTTCATTAGACGGAAGAGAGCAGGAAATGTTTGGTGTGTCGGCTGTCAGTGGCGGCGGAGTCAGTCACTCTGTGACCCGCTCCGTCACATTATCCTCTCCCTCCCCAAGGTTGGCGATGTGCGGCAACCTGGAAAGGCAAACAGCCACCTCCACGCTTTGGCAATGCGTCCCAAACCGCAACAAACAGTTTGCATGTCCTCACCGCACTGGCACTGTGGAATCTCCGCACCGCACAGTGCCTCCACCCAGGCGCCGGCTGATCAGGCCGGCCATCGGAGTCCGACCGAAGATACGGATCACCGACCGAAACAGAAGTCTGTAGGTCCCGAAGCTCCGCCAACAGGAACCCCTCTCGCCCTGTTCCACTGGCCGACCCCGAGGCCGCAGGAGCCGCTGGGCCCACCCAGGACCCATCCTCGTCCTCCGTCTCCCATGCCCGCTCCGACCCAGCAGCCGCGCTCTCCTCCTGCTGCTGATCGTAGTCCCGTTCGCCGCTCCGCAACGCCGCCCAGCTTCCTCCGACTAGCCATCCCACTTCTGACACCATATGTGACGGGGTTCAATTCGTCCATTCGATACATGGCTTAGTCGGTTGTTTAAGCTCCAAAAAAAACTTTATTTGTATCAGAAACAAAAAATATACGAACCAGCATACCTTAAACAAACAAAATAAAAGACAAAAACAGGCCGTCCATCACTCATTCAGAGTAAACGTGTTCTGGCTGTTGCCTTCTCTGCAACAAACCCCCGAACACGTCCCAGCTGTTGCCTTCACTGCAACATTCTTCAGAGTGACACAGTCCAAAAAAAACTTCCTGCTCCGTCACAGGAAGTTTAACCTTTGAGTTAATTTTCAGTTTTATTTTTGTATGATTTAAGCTGCTACACTCCCAAACAAAAACTGATGTGAAAGCTTGAATACTGACAAAGAAATACTCTCTTATAAGACAATATTACCCATAATGTTTGAAAGATCCAATGCTGTACACTTGAATGGATGAGAAGACTTGGAAGAATGAATACGAATTGGGTAAATGTAATTCATGTGTGTCACCTGCAGTATGTATTTTTACTCTGATTAACTTGTTATTTCTGGTGAAAGGTGAAACTATAAACTGTATTTTCAGTAGAAAAGTTCAACCTGAATATACTATGTATGACAAACTGGCCTGAATTCAAGCCAAAGTTTTGCAACATGTGGCATTGGCCCTGAATCTAGAGTCAAATGTTGGAATGCTTGCTGAGCCACCAGGAAACGACTGACCTGAGATCTGTTTCTCTGTTTTTCAGGTGTGATAGTCCAGACTAACAAAGATGGCTCCCTGCCATCCCACGTTCTCTACAAAATTAGACAAAACTCCAGTTTTACAGAGAAGACCAATGAAATCAGACGGGCCTACTGGCGTCCCGGGCCCAACACCGGGGGGAAGTTCTACTTCCTGTACGGATTTGTTTGGATCCAAGGTAAGTGACCGAAATGCTTTGCTTCCAATTGAATTGAATGCATAATTTATAGGTCAATATTTGATCTTGTGTTACTTCAGACATGAAGCAATCTGATCATTTCTTAAAGTGGATTACTGTAAGTCTGATGTGCTATAACTAAAGCCACAGACTGGAGTGCACAGGCGGGGAAGACTGTTGCATCAAACACATTGTTTTTGATCTATATACACATACTGTATACATTTGGAGTATATTAGACATTTTAAACAGAAGCAGGATAAAATGTTTTCTTTACAAGGAAAACAATATACTTTTTTCAACATGAATAAGCAAATTCAACCAAACCCACCCCCCCTGTTGATATAATACACCACTAAGAAGGAGATAAGGGGTCAGAGCTGTGTGGCTGCAGCAGGCCGACACTATATGTCCGCTGACATGCAGCTTTCTTTCATTTCCTCCAGTATCATTTTCAGCATTTACATTTTTGTTCCAACAAATTGTGGATGCCTTTTATATAATTTTGGGAAGAATTGCTAATTTGTCAGAGTTTAGGTTTGTTTGAGAGCCCCACACTTCCCTTCCATAGAGCAGAATGGATTCTATTATTGATTGAAGTATTTAAAGTCAAATTAAAATAAAAGTTTGAATTTGCATTTGTCTTTTTGTTGCAGAAAATGCCCTGTGTGTTTACTGTTTCAGTCCAGGACTGAATTATTATTTTCTGAACAGTTTTCAGTGTTCTAAGTTTAAAGTTATATCTGTCTTTATTACTTTAACTGCCAGGGCCCAGGTCTGACAGTAACATTCAAGTATGTTTAAACTGTGTTGAAGTCCGTCTCTGTCATTACAGGATTTAATGATCTGCGTCATCATCCCTTCCCCTCCCTTTCTCTCTCTCTTTCACTTTCTCACACACACACACACACACACACACACGCACACTGTCCTTCCAGATATGATGGAGAGAGCCTTTATCAACACGTTTGTGGGACATGATGTGGTGGAGCCTGGGAACTACGTGCAGATGTTCCCCTACCCATGTTACACCAGAGACGAGTTAGAAATGCACTTTGTTTTTTGTTTTTGTTTGTTCAGAACTCATGTTTAGCATGGTCATACATCATTGGAGATTGTCAGAAATGGTTGTATGCAATGTGTATTTTTTATTTACAATGTTCTTCCTATCTCTTGTAGTACATGTTAGCTCATGTTAGAAATTCTATAGATCCTACACATTTGAAATGAAGGAATTAGCCTTTATTTAAATCTGCATATCGTTTTTCACCCTTGTTTTTTCCAGTTTCCTGTTTGTGATTGAGCACATGATGCCTCTGTGCATGGTGATCTCCTGGGTCTATTCAGTAGCCATGATGATTCAGCACATTGTGGCTGAGAAGGAGCACCGGCTCAAAGAGGTGAGTCTGTGATCATAAGGCAAGTTGATTTATAGCACCTTTCAACACAAGGCACTTCAAAGTGCTTTGCAAAAATGAAACACATTATGAGCATTAAGAAATAGTGCAGCAGAAATATATTATAAAATGCCTTTTAAAAACACTCCTTTAAGAGCAAAGATAATAAAACATGAATAACACAGGTACATGAATACAAGTTACAGTGTGAGATATGAATATATCAATTAAAAGCAGCGACAAAAAGAAAAGTCTTCAGTCTGGATTTAAAAGTAGTCAGAGTTGCAGCGGACCTGCAGGTTTCTGGGAGTTTGTTCCAGATATTTGGAGCATAATAACTGAACGCTGCTTCTCCATGTTTAGTTCTGACTCTGGGGACAGAAAGCTGACCAGTCCCTGAAGACCTGAGAGATCTGGATGGTTCATAATTTAGCAGGAGGTCAGAAATGTATTTTGGGCCTAAACCATTCAGTGCTTTATAAACCAGCAGCAGTATTTTTGAAATCTATTCTTTGACACACAGGAAGCCAGTGTAAAGACTTCAGAACAGGACATGACTTGTGTAATTCGTGGAGAACGGAAGAGTTTTCGTTTGGGAGGGGGGGGAGGGGAGGGGGGGGGGGGGGGGGGGGGGTCTGTCAGTCCGGACAACTTCTCACTTCAAAAAATAAGAAATCTAGATCGCAAAATAATTAAACAAGCGAGCGTCTGTTTTTCCTGGCCAAGGACAGGTTCCTTGAACACAACACGAGCGTAACGTGTCTTCACCATGGTCTTCACGTGGTATATGTCTCGTCTGAAAGGAGTGTAGACTAGAGTGCTGACGGAGAGCACCGGAACGCCGCTCCAGCTCTTCAAATATTGCAGTACACATGAGCCGTACACATGCCACAGTGTTTGCGTGGCTGTGTCTTTAGTTGTAAGCACAGTGGCGATCTGTTGTTATTAGCATCTGGTTAGCTAGCTATGCTAACGAATTTAAAGAGCTTTTCTACAACCAAGTGGAAGAGAGCTCTCTCCTGAGAGGCTCAAATAACCTCAGCTCAGTTGCCCCTTTCACACCAACGCGTTTTCAGCTCCGGCTCGGAGCTGGATCCTGAAAAGTACCGTTTTTTCCTGTTCACACCGCAGAGGCGCCGCCTCTTAGCTCCGGAATCCGGTTCACTTCCAGCTCCAAAAAATTGTCGGTCTAGAGGCAAGAGCTTCGGAGCTAAGAGGCGGCGTCGCTTACGTCTCTCTTACGTCGAGGCGGGGGCAGGGGCATGTGATGTTTGTAAAGTTCCAAGTAAAGTCGTCCCTTGTAAAGTCGTCCCTTGTAAAGTCGTCCGATGCCTTCCATTTCGTTTCGTAAGAGGATAACCAAAGCGAACAGCGCTTCAATACAATCGGCCATTGTTGTTGTCGATGTGAGGGATTTCCGCAATATGGTCTAGCTGCGGCCGCGGCCAGTACACGGCGGTACACGATGGTACACGACACGCCCACCTGACACTACGGTGGCTGAGAGGCATGGCAGATGAAAAGCGAATTGACGACAACTACGCCGCCTACGGTGGAGACCGTACATGGCATGTTATTGTAGCATTTTAAGCAACTAAATTAATAACCTATCCGTTTTAAGCAACTATTACGCGTTTTAAGCCACTATTAGGCAAATAAATTAATAACCTATACGTTTGAGAACCCCTTGGAACCCCTTATCCCATTTTGATGGTTGACATCTCATTTGAACAGTGAAAGCCAGAATATTGTAAAAATGCTTACCAATGATGTATTAATAATGGGATATATATAGCGCCTTTCATGAGACCCAAGGTCCCTTTAAAAAGAAGAACAGGAGTAGAAACAAACATAACAAAAGGCAGTCAGACAAAACAACAAATAGATTTGGGGCCAAAGGCCTTGGCAGACAGATGGGACTTGAGGGCCCTTTTGAAGGCATCAAGCGTGGGGATGTTGCAGATCTCCGCAGGGAGAGCGTTCCATACTGAAGGCTCTGTCCCCGAAGGATCGCAGGTTGGTGCGGGGGGGCCAGAGTCTGAAGACCGCAGGTTCTGGGGTAGAGCATGTGGGAATTGTATTGATTGAGCCAGTGTTTCATCGTGTACTTTCAACTGCAGTATATGGTCAGGCAAGTTCAGCATTCACTGTGATGTATATAAAATATGACACTGATACCGTTTTCCTCAATGAACATTTATTGAACAGAACATCAAATGGAAAATCAGAGCTGGTCAACTTAAAAAAATATTGAATAAATAATAAACTCCTCGGAATCTTTCACAAGTCCTTCAGCCTTTGGTGCGCTTCCTCACTCATGTTCTTGGCGAGGTCATGAGAACAAAGTTCCATCTTACTGATAAGACTAGATGGTATAAAGAAGTCATATGTAATATTATAAAATCACATGCATCAGGGGTTGTACACTTTAATGTGTCCATTCACTAACCGACTCTTTAGGAAGGAAGCTGTAAGGCCTCTTGTTATAGGAGTGGTCCTCATCAGTGTCCAGGGGCATCTGTAGACAGTCAACCATTATTTTGACAGTGCTTTACATGCATGGTTTAACTCCTCCAAAAATGATCCAGGCTCGATTCAGAATGACACAGTACCACACAAAACAAATGTTGCATGTACCATAAGTTCTATGTAGTATGTGTTTTAGGAGTAGTAACCCATTCTGAAACAGGCACACAGGGTCATAGATACGTTGAGCGATACACTGACCATGGTGCTGCTTGCATGTGTCCTTTTACGACTGATCCTGAATGTACGTGGGACATTGTCGCTAAGGGTCACCCTGCCTTCCTCACTATAGTGAGCAAACCTCTTTCCATACCTGCAATTAAGACACATTTTCTTCACCAGAAGGTTGAATTTTAGAGCCAGGTGTTCCCCCCAAATCTTCTTGATAATACAATTACAAATTCAAATGTTTTTGTAGCACTGCAGCATACCCTTCCAGTCCAAAGTTTTCCACCAGGATAACACACCACCACCTTCTCAGGAGAGACATGTCATGCTAAAGAAAGAGCATCAATTTTCATTAAGTTTGTTATAGCATTTTAATGTGACTTCTTTCCTTAATACTTACAATGCTGAAGTCAAAGCTGGCCTCCATGGCAAAATACCAGGCATACTGTAATGAGAATTTTATTAGCACATGCAAGACATAATGTACACGTGGCGGCTGGGTGTGACCCGGTCCTTTCACAAAATGGACACTGGAAGGTGTCCGAGTCCAATTTGTTGAGCTCTGGGCGTGCTCCATCACGGAGTGTTGTGTTGTTTGTCTATAGGTGAATACAATAGAATACAATTTAAGTGACTTTAATATTGGAAATAGTTAACTCCTTAAACAAGCAGCAATGGACTGGCCTGTATAATCCTATGGGACAAAGCTGGTCATACTTCCTCACTTTCAGAAGGTAACCCTTTAATGCACAAAACAACCTCTAGATTTCACTGTGGTTCGAACAGAAAGCCCTTCAGCTAGTTTAAATGTCAGGCCTACAGCATAAACCCCATCTAAAAACAGAGGCTCTGTCCTAATTACCTGATTGCATCCACCTGGGTTACTTGGCTCTACCCAATAACTACCATTTAACTTTAAACCACACTTAAAATAATAATTATACATATTTACATGTCTACAGTATAAGAGCTAATACATGTTTTAAATAAAAAACATTCAAATGTGAAAGACACCTTCAATTAATATTTAAAACTTACATAAAATCAGATTCTTGTAAAAATTAGAGTACATGCATGTTCAGTTAGCATATATGCTAAGTTAACTGAACGTCGAGCATGTCAAGCTAAGATATATATATATATATATATATATATATATATAGCAAAATAAACACAATTACACTGCGCTAAACAGCCACATCGACAAACAAACGAGAACCTAAATAGTATGTAATTATATCTAAAACCACAATACGTTAAGTACCTGTACTCGGTGCGCCATGTTGTTTGTTGTCTGTAAACCTCACGTGTTGGGCGTGCTCTCTTCTGACCATATTTGGAAGTACAACTTTTCGCGGCCGCAGCTAGACCCTTCTCAGCCACCGTAGTGTCGTATCAGGTGGGCGTGTCGTGTACCATCGTGTACCATCGTGTACTGGCCGCGGCCGCAGCTAGACCCTTCTCGATTTCCGCGCGGTTTGGATTTTATGAAGCAGGCACGTAAACGGTGACGTCATGACGCAGCAGTGGCAGCTCTGGGCGGTGTGAACAGAGCGGGAGCAGAAATGGTAAACCGGAGCTGAACCAGAAAAGCTCCCGCTCGGAGCTAGAAAGGGAAAAGCGCTGGTGTGAAAGCCGCAAGGTTAAGGCACATCTAGGCCTAGGGTTGCCAACTTCCAGAAATGGAGAAACGGGACACATGCATGTGTCCCCCGCGCGCGAAGATTTTCGGGTTTCTGGCGGATTTAGGGTTATGTTATTTAATTCTTTTGGGGGAGCCAGCCCCTAGGGTTCAAAATGTTTTTGGGGGTCAAACCCCCCCAAAATGCATAGAAAACTATGCATACCTATAACACAATACAAACACAATGGTCTTACACCTGCATTAGGCTACTACATTACATTGTACATCAGCATGTTCAAATCGGATAGGACAATTGGCTATTTTGTCCAAAATGTTAAAAAATTAATATTTGAAAAATGGTATCAAGTATACATGATGTGAACATGCACGGTACATCATTATTAGACTTAATGTTATCCTTCAACCAACCATTTTCCCAGCAATCAGCTGACTGACTCTCTCACACACACACACACACACACACACACACACACACACACACACACACACACACACACACACACACACACACACACACACACGCCACACAAACAATGATGCCGCGCCCGCGGCCCACCGGAGAAAATCTCACACACACACGTGCGAGCATTGTGCCTGCCCTGTCAACTGAGCGGTCCTAGTGCCCTTCGCATACAGCACACAAACACACAGGCACGCAGCCAGACCTATGAGCCAGACACACTGCATTGCGCGCAAACAGTCCCGTACGGGACACGCCCCTTTTGGCTCAAATACGGGGCGTCCCGGCTAATACGGGGCGTCCCGGCTAATACGGGACGGTTGGCAACCCTATCTAGGCCCCCCCCCCACTTAAATCATGGGATACTAAATACATTTGCACACATCTTGTGTCCATATCTTTCTGTTTTGGTGATCATGCCACACCGTGCACATGCATGCATACGTGAGTCATGGTGAGATATCTGGATTAAGAAGTTGCTTTTTCTTTGCACAGCATGAAAGAAAGGTGAAATGAATGGGCTGTGATTTTAGTTAGTGAGGTTGAGTTCAATCATTTGTACGGCCCTCGGAGGATGTTCCCCACCCCTGCTGTAAATAATAATAAAAACCCTTGATTTATAACTTAACATCTCTGTCTCCTATTGATCCGAGAACAATCATAGAGTGGAACTTGCTACCAGAAGAAGCTGTCATCGCAGAAACCGTGGAGTGCTTCCGGCACATTTTAAGAGACATTTAGCGGGGATCATCCATCCCCCACTGAGCGTGATACCTCTGGGTTCTGCTCAGTATTAATCCAGATCCAAATCAGAGTATATTATAAAGAATAGCAGTTAATTGAAGCATTATAGCACAGGCCTTTGTCAGATGGTATATTACGCTGTTTTTTTTCTGCTTCGAATAGTTCTCTCTTTTTTCACCATACCTGTGTTTGCATCACTGATTATTGGCTTCATATGTCTAACTCATATTTTCTATTAGTGTCCCCGTGGTTGCTCCCTGAACTACGTTTCGTGGATAAAAACTACAATGTTATAATAATTGCTATAAATCTTATAGATTTATCGTCCACAAATCCATTTGTTTTTTATGTAAACACTTTTGAACAATGTGGCACATGGATGTTTTTAGCTAAAATAATGGAGCTCCTTGCAACCGAGAAAACATTTATATAAAGCCTTAGCACAGTGGTTCCCAAACGTTTTCAGTCGGGACCCCCTTGGGTATTGGAAATATTTTCGGGACCCCCCAACCCGGTTCCCATCTATATTGGTAGTATTAATTGTATATTGTTGTAAAAACATTACATTTTCTCTGCTAATAATAAGAAGATACAAAGATCCAACTGTCATTTTATATTTTATTATGGATTACACATGAACAAAAGTGCTTGTAATAGATACTGTGAATTAATTTGGCCTAATTAAAACTGGTTGGCCTTCTTCCCTGAGTAGTAGATTTTTAAATTCAAATTTCTTTAACGAAAATATATTAATTATCTACTATTTCTACTGCAGGTTGCAAACGATCACATCACTTTACCATTCCTATTCCACACTAGCTTATCAATTACTTGTGTGTGCTTGCTTTCCCTTGCAGATCTTCTCAAACCGGGGCTGTTGTTTTGAGACTGCATGCCCCTCTCAGTTCTTTCTCAATGTTCAGCTTTGATCTGTATTTCGTTTTGATGGCAGCAACAGCAGAAAAAGCCTATCTCACACAAGTAATGTTGCAAAAGGCAGCATTATGCCCACAGCTCTCTGACCAACACACTCTCAATCCATAATCGTCCAGGAGCGACGTTTGGTCAGGGTCCCGTGGCGTGCAGTTGTGACGCTCCTAGGCTCCTTCAGCTTCATAAAGGGACGCAAATAGCTTTCAACTGATTGCAATGTATTCCCATCTGCGGCGGGATTTGACGCTCATGGAAGCACGGCATTCGTTTGTGTCGGCTGCCCTTAAAGGCAATGTGAGCGTCCATTCCCATTGGATAACGGAGAATTGTACATTCTCCTTGTGAGCTCCTGTTCTGAAGTCATATTACACATCTGTCGTAGATTATGTAGTGAGAGTGTGTTGCTCTGACCAATGTTTGCAGTGTTTGTTTACAATTGAATAATAACAATACATTTGAATTATATAGGTACACTTTAAAAACAACGTCATCTCAAGGTGCTTCACAAAGCTAAAAGGAGAAAATAATAAAATTAAAAAATCTTCCCGCGACCCCCCTGCAGCCCGCGACCCACCAGTTTGAAAACCACTGCCTTAGCATATATATCTTTCACTAACATATGTACCTTTCCACTTTGCTTAATGGCTTTTAGTTGAACGTCCTTTCTTATTATATTATATATATTTTAGATATAAACCTGTTCCTGCGGAAATCTCCAATTAGTGTTAGCTTTATTTAGAGATAGATATTAAGCTGCCTTAAAGGTGTCCTATCATGCAAAATGCACTTTGTGATGTCTTTTATACATACATATGTGTCCCCGGTGTGTCAGGGAACTCACAGAGTGTCAGAAAACAAACCCTCTCTTTTTCCCTCCGTACCCACATCTCTAAAAACGGAGGAGCAATAGAGCTGATCCAGATTTGCTGCCGATATGACGTAATATCAGAAATGTGGGCTGGCTTTACGCTCACGGCCCTATCAGAAACATCGCTGTATCAGAAACAATGCACAACGTGTTTTGGACTTAATATGATCTTTGTTTAGATAAGCAAGCATTGCTAAAACTCAGAGGTGAGCTAACCTGTACTGGAGAGAGTGTAAAAAATAAGGAAACTCACCTTGTAGTAAACCCGAAAGAAAATAATAATAATAGCTTGGATTTATATAGCGCCTTTCATGAGACCCAAGGTCACTTTACAAAGAAGAACAGGAGTAGAAACAAACATAACAAAAACAAAAGGCAGTCAGACAAACAGTCAGACAGACAAAACAACAAATAGATTAGAGGCCAAAAGCCTTGGCAAACAGATGGGACTTGAGGGCCCTTCTGAAGGCGTCAAGCGTGGAGATGTTGCGGATCTCCGTAGGGAGAGCGTTCCAGAGGGTGGGGGCTGCCACAATGAAGGCTCTGTCCCCGAAGGTCCGCAGGTTGGTGCGGGGAGTGGTAAGCAGGCCAGAGTCCGTCAACCTCAAGGATGAAGTCACCAACCTTCCGGAGCAGCGCCTTGGGTGCCACAACCATGAGCTCTGTTTTCCTGCTGTTGAGTTTGAGATAGTTGGACGACATCTAGGTTTTGATGTCGTGCAGGCAGTTGACGAGAGACTGAGGGGGGAGCTGGGAGGATGGATGGAGTAGTGCTGAGATATAATTGGGTATCATCAGTGTAGCAGTGGAAGTTGAGTCCATGATGGCGGATGATCTGGCCGAGGGGGAGCATGTAAAGGGTGACCAGGAGGGGGCCAAGCACAGAGCATTTGAGCTCCATACTATTTCAGAAATAATCCCTGAAGTGGTTTGGAACATGGTGGCGTTTCATCACGGCAGCGTTTAGCTCGTCACAGAACTCACAGTGTGCCTGCTGCTCAAAAGTGGGCGGGGCCAGCAGAGATTCAGCCATTGTCTAACAGGGCTAAAATAGAGGGATATGAAGGATGTCTAAAATGCATTAGATCTGTTTGGTATTTTGAGCAAACCACATTATAGATTTTTTTTAACATATTTTTATATATCTGATACCCATAATTTATGCCTAAAAATAGCATAATGGGAGATCTTTAAGACCATGCACATGGAAATAAATAGTACATTATGTGATTCACGAGCGGATGATTTTCAGTTCTGAAGTATGTGTATGCATCAGTTTCAGTTTACTTGACCTCTTGTTTTTATTGTGATACAGCCATAAAGGAAAACTTAGACTGGTGGAGCTGAGACTGTAACCATTACGCCCCCCCCCCCAGGTGATGAAGATGATGGGTCTGAACAACGCCGTCCACTGGGTGGCCTGGTTCATCACAGGCTTCGTACAGCTGTCCATCTCTGTCACCGCTCTGACAGTCATCTTGAAGTATGGCCGGGTGCTGCTCCACAGCGACCCTTTCATCATCTGGCTCTTCCTCACCATCTACGCCGTGGCCACCATCATGTTCTGGTGAGATCTTCCTGCAAACTCATGAGTCCATGACTTCTTTAAAAGGTTCAATGGCACAGAATTTGTTTCACCTTTGAGGAAGAAAAATACGAGTTTATTTGTATGAATCCAATTGAATGTATAATAAACAAAGATTAATACTTTTTCTTGAAATATTACTTTGACTAATTTCATGAAACAGAAACGACGAAACGATAAAGATTTCCTTTTTCTTCCAGTTTTTTGGTGTCAGTAATCTACTCTAAGGCCAAGCTTGCGTCAGCCTGTGGAGGGATCATCTACTTCCTCAGCTACGTGCCCTACATGTACGTGGCCATCAGGGAGGAGGTGGCCCATGATAAAATCACCGCCTTCGAGAAGTGCATCGCTGTAAGGCCTCCTCCTTTGTTTTAACTGCAGTTGGAGTGTGTTTTAAGAATGTGTCCCTTGTGTTGTCAGTGTGAGGTATTACTTAAATAACCAGGATGATACTAAGGTGAATACAATGTCCCCCCCCCCCCCCAGTCTCTGATGTCCACCACAGCCTTTGGCCTGGGCTCCAAGTATTTTGCATTGTATGAGGTAGCAGGGGTGGGAATCCAGTGGCGGACCATCAGCCAGTCTCCGGTAGAGGGTGATGACTTTAACCTTGGTCTGTCCATGATGATGCTCATGATCGATGCCGGGGTGTATGGAGTGCTCACTTGGTACATAGAGGCCGTGCACCCAGGTATGATGAACCTCTAAATCTCTTTGCTGTTCTCAGTGTTTGACACATCTTCTCAGATTGATTAGATCAAATGTGTTTTTCCTCTCCTATAGGAATGTATGGGCTGCCCCGACCATGGTACTTTCCCCTGCAGAGATCCTATTGGTCAGGCAGTGGGCGTGTCGAGACCTGGGATTGGCCGTGGTGTGGGGGAGGGGCGGCCCGGCTCAGTGTGATGGAGGAGGATCAGGCTTGTGCTATGGACCAGCGTAGATCTGGTATGGAATAATGATTATTCGGAGCTGATGAGGACATCTTGTAGAGGATATTTTTTATGTTCTATAGATCCACTTATAGAACCAGGTTACACTTTAATAACAACATGTAAACCATCTTACTGATGTGATTGACAGAACCCCATCTTCTAACTTTAATTCCTTTCCTAACTTCTGACTTCCATTCGCCTAGTACGCTTGTATCCATGTCAAAACAGATAGTTTGGAACGACCAGTCATTTAGGGTTATACTGTTACTTGCTTTATTTGTGAGAAAATGTCACTATTTGAGCATGATGTTTTTTAGATGGCTAGGCTAAATAGAGAACAGCTGTTTAATTGTTATATCAACAGGCGTGTTAATTAAGAGAAGGTATTATTATTGGCAGATACTTAAGGTTGCAGAATTGGAAATGTCAGGCTAGCATATGCAAAAGTGATCAGGAAAGTGAAAGTGACAGAAGTAAAATGAGACTGTTAAAGGTCCCATGTCATGGCCATTTCCACTGATCATAATTCCATTGTTGAGGTATACTAAAATAGATTTATACTGTGCAGTTTTCCAAACTCACATTGGTTTCGCATACAGCATCTCTGTAAAGTGTGTGTATTCAGCAGTATTCACTCTCTCCACTAAACGGCTCGTTGCAGCTCTTGCCCCCCCCACCCCTCCCTGTGAGCCCAGTGTGCTCCGATTGGTCAGCTCGGCCACTCTGTTCTGATTAGTCAACCACCAGAGAGGCTCCGCCCATGTCTAACAGTGCTTTTTTCAGCTCGCTCTGATTCTGAGTGGAACATCGGTCTTATAATGGCGTCGGTACAGCCGTATATTTTATACGCTAACTAACCGAACTGTACCTACAACTGTTGTTACAGAAGAGTAAGTTATTTTGACCTGTAATAAACTACTACTGTTTGATAAGAAATCAAATCATGGTTTGCTATATATGAATGATATGTTATAGGAGCAAATCATTCAGGGAAGAAAGGATACTAAGTATTTTTAGAAATGTACAAAATGAACATGTGTAAATATACACTGTGGATGATATACACTGCCCCTTATAAGCGTTTTCGGCATCTTGCCTATCGCAGCTTTGTAAACTGGTGCTGGGGCTTTTTAGGACGAGGCATCAGAGTGGTCATCCCGTCATGTGTTGTCAGCCAGATACGCCAGGAGTTTCCTGATCTGGCTGGACGAAATCAAATGCAAATCACAAAATATTAGAGAAACTTAGTTGTTTTAGATTCGTTAGTAATAGTTGTGGTAGCAGTGTGTATATCTAATCTATCAACACAGTTAGCTTGCCAGCTAATATGCTAACCTACGTTTGCTAGTTGTTCAGTGTAATATGCCAATCTACTATGAACAACAGCTAGTGGTTCATATTAGGCTAGCAAGAACATGTTTACAATTGCAATCTTATACGGGTAGTCTGCTACTTTCGGTCATTCATTGTAGCTGGCATGAAAACAATGTTTTCCCTAGCAAACTCATGTCTAGCTCTAGGTAGCCTTGTTGTTTAGCTATGTAGCATACACGCTATGAACGGTAGCTCGGTAACATACACACCAGGAACTAGGGATGCTCCGATCGAGATCGGCCGATATTCACTCTCTACCGATCGATCGGTGCTCTCTAAACATGCCGATCGCGAGAGCCGATCGCATGACGTAAAATACATGACACTTTTCTCTGTGTGCGGCAAAACCAGCTCGCCAACATGGCTTCACCGGTCTGGCAGTATTTCAAGGTGTCTGAAAAAGACAGTAAAATAGCGGTATGCAACGTGTGTGTGAAGCAGAAATCCTGCAGCTCCACCCGCTGTGACAACGCTGAAGTTGGCTTCCGATTCAGAGCATCCGATTCGGCAGTTAAGGGGAAAGTTAAGGGACATTTAATTTACAGCGCTGAGCGAACAATTCTCCGTGTTTGACCTCTTAAATAGCTGCATAGCCGATTTATTTGGACTGGATTATCCCAGAGAGTCTAAAGATTCTTTATAACCCAGTTTGAGATTTGTGAAACCTTTATTCTATTTGTGAAAATACAAACAAGGGAGATTTCAGTGCTTTTTTTACATGTAGACCACATTAGACCAGGTCCTGATCTGAAACCACTAGACCTACACTCATCAAATCGGGTAAGCTAATTAAGGAAGAATAAAGTCTTTACTTCTCAAATGTATTATAATTTTGTGTTGCAAATAAAAATTCAACAGATAAGTAGGTATACTTATATAAACTTAATTTATTTACAGTTGCAGGCAAAACATTTCAACAGGAAATTAAATATAGTCTATAACTAGCATTGTTCAAGTTTACTTTAAGCAACAAGCTTTGCCTAATTACAGTATGTCATCTTGAGCACTAGGATTGCTTGGAATGTGAAAAACATTACAAGATTAGAAAATAACACTTTGGTGAAAAATAATTGCTATTCATATTTAGCTTTAGGACAAAGCAGCAGAAGCTGTTCAAAGTGGATGAAAGACTGAAGGTTAGCCTTTTTCTTTATCTCATGAACCTGAATTCCTTTAACATCTCTTTCATTTTTTTGTTTGCTATGAAACAGTATTTAAGATACGAAAACTTTGTAGATAAAGAATTATCACCTAAATGAGGAGCATACACTTATTTTTATTTATTTATTCATTTGTTTAACAAAATCAAATCAAGTTTTATTTGTAGAGCACATTTAAAAACGATTTTGGTCGAGCCAAAGTGCTGTACATGTAATTTAAACACATAAAAACACATTACATCACAATAAATCACAACAGATAAAAACAACACATGGAACAGTCAGGAGTCGTGACCCCACTCTAACTAGAAGGCCAGAGAGAAGTAGTGTGTCTTCAGTGTGGATTTAAAAGCCCCTAGGGTCTGGGCCGACCTCACATGGAGGGGAAGAGTGTTCCAGAGCCTGGGGCCAGCTGCTGCGAAGGCTCGGTGCCCTCGGGTTTTGAGCCTGCTCTTAGGCACTACCAGCAGCAGCTGGCCCCAGGCTCTGGAACACTCTGTCAGGGACAGTGCACATTAATTAACATTCCTGTAAATGTGCCAGAGTTAGCCAAGAGGCTATTTTTCATCTGTTGTCCCTGGACAGATGTTATAAGTGAACCTAAAACAAATTTCATTTAAACAAGTAAATACAATCAAATTAAAACATGCAACATACATTACTGGCATACTTAAATAAATAAAAAGACAGAACAATAAAACAAAACAAAAGAACATGTTGTGACGACCCCTCCCCCCTTCTGCCTGTCTGTGCTCCCTGCCTTGCTGTCCTCTGGCAGGTACTGGGAGTGTGGTCCTGTTTGTGCCCGCCCATCTAGAGGCGGAGCCAGCTGGGAGGTTCACTTTCTGATGCTGATCCTGGCCTGCTGCAGCAACCTCAGCCTTCCACCTGTGTTTGTATTTTCACAAATAGAATAAAGATTTCACAAATCTGAAACTGTGTTATAAAGAATGATTAGACCCTCTGGGATAATCCAGTCCAGATTTGATGAGTGTAGGTCTAGTGGTTTTAGATCAGGACCTGGTCTAATGTGGTGAAGATGCGAAAAAAGCACTGAAATCTCCCTTTTTTAAATTTTCACAAATAGAATAAAGGTTTCACAAATCTAAAACCGTGTTATAAAGAATCTTTAGACTCTCTGGGATAATCCAGTCCAAATAAATCGGCTATGCAGCGATTTAAGAGGTTCAAACACGGAGGATTGTTCGCTCAGCGCCGTAAATTAAATGTCCCTTAACTTTCCCCTTAACTGCCGAATCGGATGCTCTGAATCGGAAGCCAACTTCAGCGTCGTCCCGCACTGACGGACCGGTGAGCGGAGCAACACACAAGAGTTAGACCTAACACACTTAGCTATTGTATCTACCTCTGGAACAAGCTAAACTAGTTATTATAAATATATTTATTCTTCACTGTCGGGTCACTCATTACTGGTTCAGTGAGCTGCATGAGATACTGACAGGCTGTCAGGAGAGGGAGAGAGGGGGAGAGAGCGCTTCCGCTCATTCCTCCCGTGTTATTATCCAAAGTGAACGTAAACTTGAATAATGTACATCATTTGAATGTAATAATTAAGTTGATTGTTGTTTGTGGAAGCTCCAGTGAATGAGCCCCATTAACTGAGTTTTAAACATCACTTTAAATGGAAGATTTAAAGTGATGTTTAAATCTTCCATTTAGGCCCCGCCCACTCGATCGGATCAGCGATCGGTATCGGCCGATACTGATTCCAGCGATCGGCCCCAAAATTGGCGATCGGAGCATCCCTACCAGGAACGCCAACTATAATGTACTGACCGTACTGTAAATCACCCGGAGTATAGTGTCTATGAGTATTTCGTGTGTGATTACAGACATTCTCCAGCTGTGAGATACGTGTAAGGCCATCTGCTAACATTGGAGTTGATATATGGAAACGCTAGCAACTTAGTTAGCCCAGTTAGCATTGCTCGCACACACACTGCTGGAGGAGCAGACAGGCTTGGCGATAAAGCTAGAACAAGCCAAACTCATCCTGAGCACACAAACACAAGCAGCCGTTTGTTTTAAACATCATAAATACACAAACAACAATGAATACTTACAGGTTGTGTACCCGAACTCCCGCTGGTCCAAACAAAGCAGGAACAGCATCGTTCTTCAGTGCCCTACGCTGTACATATCCGGCATGAATCCTGAAAGGTTTTGGGAAGCTTTGTTACGTGAAAGGCTGGCAGAGGGTGCGGCCATAGATCTGGGTGTGGTTACTGGCCATTCCTACGTCACGATAACCAGGAAGTAAACAATGGACAATGACGTATCTCCAACGAGACGTTTAGACTCTGTGTTAGAGTTTTACTCGCTACAGGGTGTACTTTGAGGGTTTTGACTCTGCACACTGTTTACATGCATAAAAACCTTCATAACACACAAGGGGACGGGTAATAACCGGAAAAGCATGACATGGGACCTTTAAGACAGTTAAAATATTCGGAATGTTTTATTTAATTTATTTGTAACTCTCATTGTAACACTAGAGGAGATGCGGGGCATAGAGGAGGAGCCGAGCCATCTCTCGTTGGTGGTGTGTATAGACAAACTCACCAAAGTGTACAAGACCGGCAGCAAACTGGCCCTGGACAAACTGAGCCTTAACCTCCATGAAAACCAGGTAGTCTCCTTCCTGGGACACAACGGCGCTGGCAAGACCACAACCATGTGAGGGGATTAGTGTGTGTGCGTGTGCATGTGTGCAAGGATTAAAGTCTGAAGACCATTGTTCAACTTTAATATGATTTTTTAATTATAATTTTAAGTACACATTCTGTTCAAACTAAAAATACATTTCACATTTTAAACACCTGATAACTAGGTTTCAATACTTCCTTCGATGTCTACAAAACACCTGAGGGCTGTTTGATCTGCTGTAGCTACACCAGAAGCATGAAAACATAAGCATCTGTTAGATGTTTATGAGTAAAGAAAGAGTATTTTTAAGTCAACAGTTATATTTTATAAAAGTTATCGAACCACATCAATTTTTGCCCAAAATATCAAATATGGTGCACAAGATCAAATATACTGTATAGAGGTGAACCGCATCAAAGCGTGCTTGGATTGCCTGCCTGTTTAACCGCCACTGACTGCCTGCACTGGATTGTCACAGGTCCATCCTCACTGGCTTGTTCCCGCCCACCTCTGGTTCTGCCACCATATATGGTCATGACATCCGAACAGATATGGAGCGGATTCGTCAGAACCTGGGCATGTGTCCACAGCACAATGTCCTGTTTGACAAGCTGAGTGTGGAGGAGCATCTGTGGTTCTACTCCAGACTGAAAGGCATGGCTGAGGAGGATATCCGCAAGGAGATGGACAAGTGAGACCAGTCTGCTTCCTGCAGTTCAATGTCTCAATGTCAACGCATAGAATTATGATTAGCTTATAGCAATGTATAATCGTATTTATAAGCACATTTCATAATGACTTATAATGTCAAGTATTATAATACTTGAATTGCTGCTCCCTCAAAAATTAAACACATTTTAACGTAGATCAGGGGTGTCCAAATTATGGCCCGCGGACCATTTTGAATCGGCCCACAGCAAATTAAAAAAGTATAATGAAATATGGCCCACAAATGAAACTTCTGCTTGTCCTATATTGTACTTCTTACATATATATGTTCAAATACATTACACAGTATTCATGTGTTAATAAGCCACATTTTCAAATAAATTCAGTCAATTAAAGTTTATATTTTTTTCTAACAAAACTAAGTTCATAAGAAAATAAAGCCCAATAATACATTTACATAACAACCTTGAAATTACCCTTCATATTTCCTCTTATTATAAGCGATCTGAAGCTTGTGTTTTAAGGAATAAGCCGCCATCCCAATAAATGAAACCCTATGGAGAGCTGAGATGTAGGCTGTTTTTAAAGCATTTTCAAGTATCAAGAATAGTTTACCTATATTTGATGGATTTTTCTAACTTATAACTTAATTTAGAAGGCAATATACCTCACCTCTAGTGAGTGGCCCAGCCCTTCATGTGTTGTGAAAAAGTTTGGACACCCCTGACTTCGATCAATTATATTTCAATGAATTATAAGAATGTATATTACATATAAAATCTATAGAAATTATATTATATTATTGTATTATGTTATATTGTATACATTATAGCAAGCTTGGTTATTGTTAGAAATCCATTTGGAATACAGTACATGCTTGTATCTTTAATATTACAAATATTGCTATCATAGCACTGCTATGATAAAATTATAATGCAGGTTTGTAATGCATTTTAGACATGGATGTCATATTCAGAGTTACCGTTCATTCTTATCATTTGATGATGTGACAGATGCAAAAAAAGTTACACAACTAGTACCTAGAGTAGGTATTTACTCAATACATTCTCAAATAGACGGGGGGTCTTTATTCACCTGCAGGGGCCTTTTTTGGAACAGAATTTATTTTCTCTTCCACAGCCACTTATTAATAGTGAATACACTCTGGTAGTTAAAAAAATAAACAAGCGATACACTTTCATGCACAAGTTTTGTTTAATGTTTCCCAATAAAAAGATTGCCAACCGGCTCAAAAATAGTCCTTCCCTTGCAGGATAGCTCTTATTGTGAAATAGAGAAAAGAGAAACGTTTAAGTTTCACTGATTGTAACTAACAGTACTGAAAAACAGCAAATTAGATACATTTATGATGAATGATTTAGAATAATTATGAAATATAAATATTTCTGTTAACATAAGAACAGGATGGGCAGAGATGGGAGAATTAAATGACGTCTCCAGGAAATGCATGTACTGTAAGTCACTGACGTGATGTATACATGGTGTGTGTGTGTGTGTGTGTGTGTGTGTGGGTGTGGGTGTGTGTGTGTGTGTGTAGGATGATTGTTGACCTGGAGTTATCTAAGAAGCGCCACAGCTTGGTGCAGACGTTGTCCGGCGGGATGAAGAGGAAGCTGTCGGTGGCCATTGCCTTTGTGGGCGGCTCCAGGGCGGTGATCCTGGACGAGCCCACAGCGGGGGTGGACCCCTACGCTCGCAGGGCCATCTGGGACCTCATCCTCAAGTACAAACAGGGTGAGTGGAGACCCGGTACCAGAGCACACCACCACCTATTCTCAAAGATGTCACTGCAAGGCAGGTCACATTGAAAAAAGATGCTTGTGGCACTCTTACATGCTAATCTTAAAGACTGTATGTAAAACAAGACCTATTTATATATGTTTTGGATTTCTTTACATAATTCCACTCCACACAGAGGAATTCTGTTTGTGTTCAGTGTGAATCTAAACAAAGACAAGCTAACTGCCATCAGAAACTCCTGTGATCCAGGGCTACAGTGGCAGCGCTAGGGGGTGTCTATTTGGGCTCAAGCCCCGGATGTTTTCTGAAAAGCTCTGAATGTTTCACTTGAAGCTATTCTTTTTTTTTTTTAAACGTCTCGTGAGTAATGTGCAGTACCGGAGTCCAACAGAGAGGCAGCAGCTGCGGGACAGTAGCCTGCGCACTGCTTAGCCTTCCCTGCCCTGAAGAAGAAGTGATCCTTCGTTAGCGTGAAGAGTCTGCTTTATGCGCTCCGCAGTAGCCCGGCCCGCTGCGAGGCTCCGACATCACAGTTCACGAGCGTGTTCCACTAGCACCCCCCCCCCCCCTCAACAACTTCAAAATTTCTCCTCCTACGATCCTAAATCCGCCACTGCAGGGCTACCTCACAACTTCCGTCTTTCTTATGGTTTTGAATTGAGAGACTCCTAGTGGCAGAACATTTAAAATGTTTACATTATGGTTCAGATCCAGTGTTTTTTTCATTTCTGTTTTATAATTGCAGTATGTGTGTGTTCCACCTCCGCCCTAGGCCGCACAATACTCCTGTCCACCCACAATATGGATGAAGCAGACCTTCTGGGAGACCGCATTGCCATCATCTCCCACGGGAAACTAAAGTGCTGTGGCTCGCCACTCTTCCTGAAGAGCACATACGGAGACGGATACAAACTGACTCTGGTCAAAAAGCAGAATGAAGACAGAGGTGTGTGCCCTTTCTCCATACCAGCTCTAAACTGCTCTTGTTGTCACTTGTTCCACCTGTTAGGTTGTCAGACTGGAAATCATGGACACTTTTACAGTCAAACTGATAGTAGCATAGGAGATGCCAATTACCAAACCACTGGCATCTTTCTCTTAGGTTCCTCTCAACAACAATATTAAGTCATATTGCATTTTAGATATGACCTATATTGTTGTTGTTTTGTATTTGCTGGGATACTTGGAAAGGCCATTAATTGGCATGTGAAAGGTACATACTATTTTGTGATATTGTCACTTCTTGTTTTGGTTTTATTCTTTTTTATTGACATGGCTATGCCTTGGGTTTTAGCCTCCAGGGTTCCCATCAGATCCCATTCTGATTCTGAACTTATGACAATGTAATATCATGGAATACATGTTGTTTTGTTGTTTGAATGTATTTGTGGTTGTTGATGTGCTGAAAGCAGAGTCCTGCATCGGGTCGGGTACCCGCGGGTGGCCGAAAGGGCCTTTTATACCGAATGTCACCGAATATCAGAGAACAGGATTACGTTGGTAACCTAACGTGTTGTTGTGATTACGTAATCAAAACGCGGCGACAAGCACGGCGCGCGACCATGCTCGCGGCTGGCTCACAGCCAACATGTCTGCCGCTTGGAGATAATTCAAAATATCAGAAAAAGAGGCGCGGATTGCGATTTGTAAAACGTGTTCAGCTGACATTTCTCGAGGGGGTGTAACTGCAAAGACTTTCACCACTTCGGGATTACTCCACCACTTGAAATCAAAACACCCGGACAAATATGCAGAGTGTGATCAAAAAAAAAAGTCCTTCCCAGCACCCCGACTCCTTCTGTGGCGGACCTTTTTGAAAAGGTAAAAAAGTTTCCCAGTGATGGTCCTAAGGCAAAGGGCATTACTCGGAAGTTAATGGAACGCATCGCCATGGGTGATCAACCGTTTTCTGTCGTACAGGCCGTTGGATTTCGTAGGCTTATTGAGCACAAAAGTCTGATCATTGAGAAAGAAGAAACAAGAACTGCAAACAAAAAGATATGTTAAAACAAAGAGGGCTGACAGCCCAGGGGGCACAGCGGAGGACCCGGAAGGGGTCTCGGGCGGACGGCCTGGGGGCAAGGCAGAGTTCAAGGATGGGGACTCGGGCGGACGGCCCGGGGGCAAGGCAGAGTTCAAAAAGGGGGACTCGGGCGGACGGCCCGGGGGCAAGGCAGAGTCCAAGGTGGGGGACTCGGGCGGACGGCCCGGGGGCAAGGCAGAATCCAAGGAAGGGTCAGGGGGCCGGGCCCGAGGGCGAAGACCGCAGCTCTCAGGGGGCCGGGCGAAGACCAGACAGCTCCGGAGGCCGAGCAGGACCCGGTGTCGACAGAACTGGAGCCGGTGGGACAGGCTTCGGCAGGAACCCCCACGGAAGAGGACCAGGAGTTGGCAGGACCCCCGGCGAGACAGGTGACGGCGGGACCTCCAACGGAACAAGACATGGGATTGGCAGGACCCCCGGCAGAAGAGTCGTCAGCGGGACCCCCAACAGGACAGGACATGGAGCTGGAAGGAACCCCAGCGGAACCTCCAACGGCATAGGACATAGGGTTGGCAGGACCCCCAGCAGAAGAGTCGTCGGCAGGACCCCCAACGGGACAGGACACAGGGTTGGCAGGACCCCCGGCAGGAGAGTAGTCGGCGGGACCTCCAACGGCACAGGACATAGGGTTGGCAGGACCCCCGGCAGGAGAGTAGTCGGCGGGACCCCCAACGGGACAGGACATAGAGTTAGCAGGACCCCCAGCGGAACCTCCAACGGCACAGGACATAGGATTGGCAGGACCTCCAGCAGAACCTCCAACGGCACGGACATAGGATTGGCAGGAACCCCGGCAGAGGAGTAGTCGGTGGGGCCTCCAACGGGACAGGACATGGAGTTTGCAGGACCCCCAGCAGAACCTCCAACGGACCAGGACATTGGGTAGGGACTTGAGACGTGACTCGAGAGGGGACTTGAGAGGAGACTCGAGAGGGGAACCAAGGGGGAACTAGAGAGGGGAACTGAGGAGGGACTAGAGGAGAGAGGAGGGACTAGAGGAGGGACTTGAGAAGGGAACTCGAGAGGGGACTCGAGAGAGAACTCGAGAGGGAACTGGAGAGGGGACTCGAGAGGGAACTAGAGAATTGACTAGAGGAGGGACTTGAGAAGGGAATTGACTAGGGACTAGAGATGGGACTCGAGAGGTGACTAGAGATGGGACTCGAGAGGGGACTCGAGAGGGAACTCGAGAGTTGACTCGAGAGGGGACTCGAGAGGGAGCTGGAGGGGTGACTTGAGAGGGAACTCGAGAGGAGACTTGAGAGGGGACCTGAGAGGGAACTTGAGAGGGAACTCGAGAGGGGACTCGAGAAGAGACTCGAGAGGGGACCTGAGAGGGAACTTGAGAGGTGACTTGAGAGGTGACTTGAGAGGGATCTCGAGAGGGAACTTGAACGGAGACTCGAGGGGGGACTTGAGAGGAGACTCGAGGGGGTACTTGAGAGGAGACTCGAGGGGGTACTTGAGAGGATATTCGAGGGGGGACTTGAGAAGGAACTTAAGAGGAGACTTGAGACGGTCGGTTTGCCAACAGAACACGGGGGGCTGGAGTCGGCCGGAATGCCGACAGGGCACGGGGAGCTGGCGTCGGCCGGTACGCCGACAGGACACGGGGAGCTGGCGTCGGCCGGAGACGAGGGGCTGGAGTCGAAACCATGGCTGCTGGGGCCAGGACTGAGGCTGGAACCATGGCTGCTTGGGCCAGAACTGGGGCTGGAACCATGGCTGCTGTGGCCAGAACAGGGGCCGGAACCATGGCTGCTGGGGCCAGAACTGGGACTGGAACCATGGCTACTGGGGCCTGTACTGGAGCCGGAACCATGGCTGCTGGGGCCAGAACTGGGGCTGGAACCATGGCTGCTGGGGCCAGAACTGGGGCCGGAACCATGGCTGCTTGGGTCAGAACTGGGGCTGGAACCATGGCTGCTGGGGCCTGTACTGGAGCCCAAAGCATGGCTTCTGTGGCTAGGGCTGCTAGCCTGGACCTGCAACTCCTTCTCTTATGAGCCCTTTTGGAGGCTCCGTGGACCTCAAAAAGCCAGACGAGTTCCAGAGAACGGCTCTTGGACAGGAGCAGGAACTGGGGCAGAAGCAAGGGTTGACTCCAGACGGAACACACCAATGCGTGTGGTGTCATAATGAGAATTGGGAGGCAGAGAGCCAACATGGCTGGGGCTAGCAGGCAGGAGATAACACACCGAGAGGAAATCCAAAATCCAGCCAGGTAAGATTTTCACCAAGCCTGGCTTCTCCGTAGCCATCTGGCGCGCCTCTGCCAGAGCTGCCTCTTGCTGCTGAACCCCGGACGCTCCCCTCCATCGATCAGTGCAGTTAGCCAAAAAAAAGTAAAAATTCCTGCTCAAAAGGATCTGCTGGGCCCATATTTTGGTTAGTTCCTTCTGTCAAGGATGAGCGAAGCAGGCAGGACCCAAACGCTGATTTCTCAGAAAAAACCCCTTTATTTCAACGTTTAAATGAAACAAACATAGGACAAAACAGAACTCTCACCCCGTGAACAACGTCCAACTACAACAAGGAACTAACAAAGACTAACAGAAAACAGAGAACCTAAATGCACACATGACTAATCAAACAAACAAGAGACAGGTGAGGAGGGAGGAGAAAACACAGGGGCACCAGGTGAACACAATCGGGTAATCAGGGAGGGAAAACAGACAGAAACCAACAGGCAAAACAGGAGGTGAACACTTTTACAAAATAAAACAGGAAACCAAAGACAGGACAAGACAAGACAAAACACAACACAGACAGATCGTAACAATTATTAAACCAAATAAATGCACTTAATTGCATAACAATATAATAACGTTCCGTTTTTAATAAGTCAAGTTTTTTTGGGAGGGGCGGATGACCATCTAATTGTGTCTACATAAATATAATTAAATGGAATGGAAGGCATCATTTAGGCATTGTATTTCCTGGATTAGGCTACCTTCGTTTTAAAATATACTATCCAAATTTCACATATGAAATGGCCAACAATTATCACTTTAAACGTCGTAGGTTAGGCTACTTGATTATTATTGTAATTGTTATTATTATGTAATTATTAACATCCCACGCTTTTTGAGCCAAATACGCAACTGCGTGTGTTCATAATTGCATGATTTTCTGCATCTCTAAGTTAGCAGCTCGAATAAATCGTCCAGCTGAACATTTAGTGGAAACGCAACAAATGAATAGTTTATTTTCAGTAAGTGTTCAAATTTAATCGGTTCCTTCAGAGCCACATGCTCTTATTACCAATCGAAAGGCTGCCTGGTGGCGCTCTTTCAGCATCTGGACAGCTCCTCAAACTCCTACAGCTTGTATTTAAGGCAGCGCTCTCCCTCTGGAGCTCCATTTGCCTTTAATCATGCTCTGTGAATTCTATAAATTATTTCGCTGCTCATATATATGCGGGGCGGGTTCGGTATTGCATGTCGCGGGGTGGGTCTTGAAAATCAGACCCGTGCAGGCTGAAAGTCACCTGTTCAATGCTTCTCTTTAAAAGTGCGTAATAGCGTTGTGTGTGCCTGTCATGTGTTAGCTGTTGGGACTCAGATCCTCTCAGTCTGTCACTGATTCCCTTTCTAGTTGATGAAGTGCGGACAGCCTCTTCTACATCGTATAGGCTTCGCCCTCTAAGGCTATCGCTATTGCTGCATGCGCAGCACTGAAAGACTTGTAATCCACGCCCACCTATGACGTGGGCCCCACCTACGGACTCACTTCCGTATAAATAGGAAGGAGGCCCGACAATCTGCTCCCACTTTTCTTCAGCACTCCGTTGCAGAAGCACTGTCAGGCACACTAAAAAGCAAAGATTCCTCATCTAAAAAGCTTTGTTTCTTGTGATAAAATGGAGAAAGAGCGGGTAAGTCAAGGTTGTGTTCGGGTTTGCCTTTCATGCTAGGCGGGTTACATTATGAGCTTTGACCGGCACTCGGGGATTGGAGCATGCAAACGCGGCTCTCACTCCCCAGGTATCATGCTCACATTGTGCCCGTCTCCCTCTGGCCCACAGACAGCAGAGAGCGGACACTCTCGCTGCTGCTGCGGCTGAGGATGATTGGCCAGTCCAGGAGTCTTACTCCGTGAATGAAGCCCTTGACTTCCTGGATCCGAGTGGCGGGCAAGAGTCGGATGACTCCGTCCCTTCCATTCACGGATCACCAGGTAGTTACCCCATCCTCTCTCTCCTCCGGATGGAGGAGAGAGCCCGTTCGTCAGCCCGGCAGACAAACCAGTGGTCCCTCTCTCCGCCTCCACGGCCCTGCCGATTGGCGGAATTCTCCTGGAACTCCTGGAGATCATCCCTAAGGCAGCCGCCTGGAGAGATCTCCCCGTTCCCCCTGCTCAGGAGAACTCACCTCCGGATGACATGTCCGGGGTGTGCTCCCGGGTACAGAGGGTCAGGTGTGACCCGATCTGGCCACGCTTCTCGGCCATTAGGAGGTACCAGGAGGGGGCGGTGGCGGACCCTAGGACCCTGAGGGCTCCGGTGTCGACATACTTTCCCCTCACGAAGGTGGAGGGATTTACGGATGTGGGCTTTCCGACCATGCCTCCTCTAGAGCCGAGCCTCATGGCGTTCTTTGGAGTTAAGCAGTCCAACACGGTTGCCGGACAGCGACCCATGTTGGCTGCCCCCAGAGATCAGTTTGTCGCCCGACAGACCAACCGGATGCACCAGTGTGCTTTTCAGGCGTCAGCAGCGGCAAACAAGATAGCGTTGCTGTCCAACTCAATGGTGAGGATATCTGAGCAGTCCGCCACCATGTCCTCAGTGGAGGCTGAGGAGATCGGTAAGGCGGCCAGCACTGTACTTACCCTGTGCGTGTCAGTCGCAGTCTCGCAGGCGTGGATTGCGGCTTGGGAGACACAGGTCCACCAGTACCTCTGGCTACAGCAAGGATCTATACCGGAGGGTGCAGATAAAGAACTGCTAGAGGCTCCGATCAGTCCGGACGGGCTGTTCGGACCCCAGTTCCACACCATGGTGGAGTCTATGAAGTCTACGTCTGAACAGGCAGACAACATTAGACGTCACGTCAGCTGGCTTCAGCCTGCTGAACGTCCCCAGCAACAGCAGCACCCGCAGCAATCACAGCGGGGGCAACGGCGAGATCAGCAGCGGCGTCAGAATCGCCCTTCGGTGGCTGCAGGGGCATCGTCCAATATCTCCGTTCCTCCACCACCTCAGAGACAGGGTCTCACAACGACAAGTCAGAGGGGAACGAAGAAACCCCGCTCCTGTCTGCTCCACCGAGAGAGCATCCGAGGAAGCAGAGCCGAAGATTACTTTTTGGGGGAGTTATGTGGGAAGAAAATTTGAATACAAATGTTTCAAATTCCAACAGTGTGTCTGTAGAAACTGTTTCTCACATATCCCCCACACTAGTTAGGCCGGCTGCCGTTAATCTGTCGGTTAATAGGCAACAGGGTTCGCTGCATAAGCCAACTGTATTTAACCAGTCGGTTAATTGACAGCATGGCTTGACGTTTAAACCGGCTGTTTTAACCTGTCGGTTAGTAGGCAGCATGGTTTTTCCTCTGTCCCAGATGTGCCTACTACACACGGTCGTAATGAGCCTAGGGCTGTTATTACGCACCGTGTGAATAGCACTGCACACACCTCATTCCTCAGCGGGTTTGAGCGTGAACGCTTCTCAATGTCCCGTTTATGAGCCTTCTCCTAAACAGAGACAGGATGAGAGCTGGTGTGAGATGCAGCGTGTGGAGACCCCTTCGCAGCCCTTTCGGGCCGGGCCCCCCTTGGGTTGCTCCACGAGCAACAGGGGCTCTGGCGTGGCTCGTCACCATGACTACCACAGCACATCAAGAACAGGTACTCCGCTCTGAGAGCATTGCTCAGAGTGGCGGCGAATATGTTTGATGGACAGATGGATGAGCAGGCTGATCAACAGAGGGTACTCTCTGCAGTTCGCCTCTCCCCCTGATGAAAATCAGGGGTTTTACTCCCGTTATATTCTTATCCCGAAAAAGACAGGGGGAATGAGACCCATCCTCGACCTGTCAGTATTCAACAGGTCAATAATGAAAAGACCTTTTCATATTCTGACAATCAAACAGGTGCTGGAGTGTGTTCACCAGGGAGACTGGTTCATTTCCATAGACCTGAAGGATGCATACTTCCACGTAACCATCATCCCGAAACACAGGAAATTCCTGCGTTTCTCATTACAGGGAATATCGTACCAGTTCAATCGACTGCCGTTCGGTTATTCCCTGGCTCCACTTACTTTTTGGCTCTGGAGTTGCTACACAGACTGGGGATGAGAGTGTTATTTTACCTGGACGACCGCAGCAAGGAAGACACTTTACAGACGGAATAGCTCGTATCTCATCTGTCAAGCCTGGGTTTCATTATCAGCTGTCCTCTTCCCTCCCAGATTATCATTTATCTGGGAGTGGAATTAAACTCAGCCACCATGAGAGTACGGCTCTCGCGGCAGAGAGTGGAGAAATTGACAGCTCTCCTCCGGCGTGTCACACCCTGCAGTGTGGTGACAGCCCTCTCCGTGATGCAGCTGTTAGGCATGATGTCAGCTGGTCACGTGAGGAGACTCCAGAGGTGGTTTATTCGCCTGCACATCGACCCCGTGCGTCAGAAGAGACGCATGGTGTACATTTCTCCTTCCGTGGGTTTGGATTTAATTTACTGGAAAAATCTCCACGTCCTGTCAGTGGGGGTGCCCCTGGGCAGAGTGACGTCACACACCTCAGTGTGCACAGACGCATCTCTCAGTATGGGGAGGAACGTGCATGTCACAGGCAGTGGGCGGACAGTGGCCGGCTCACATGTCTCTCCACATAAACGCCCCGTTGCTGTACAATCAGCATGTGTTGATTCGCAGAGACAACAAAGCAGCGGCAGCCTATATCAATCGCCAGGGAGGTGTACGATCAACGCAGCTTCTGAACACAGCCAGCAGGCTGCTGTGCTGGGCGTGCACACACGTACTCTATCAGAGCAGTGTATATTCCCGGCGAGTTGAACAGAGGGGCAGACCTCATGTCCAGAGGAGGTCCTCGCCAGGGGGACTGGAGCCTCCACCCCGAACTGGTCTCCCAGGTGTGGAGCAGGTTCGGGAGAGCAGAGGTGGATCTGTTTGCTGCACCCGGGAACACGCAGTGTGCCCTCTGGTTCTTCCTGAGAACGCAGGACCACCCCCCCCCCCCTGGGGTGGACGCGTTCGCACACAGACCTTGGCCCAGGGTGTTGTAATACGCTTTCCCACCAGATCCTCGGTTCCTGGGCCGAGTACAGAAGGAGCGACTGGCAGCGTTCTTAATAGCCCCGGAGCGCACAGTAGCGTCCTGGTTTCCATGCCTTTCAGTGCTGCGCATGCGCAGGGGATTACCCAATAGCGATAGCCTGAGAAGGCAAAGCATATACTCATAGAATCTGGGTTACAGTATTAACCCCAGTTCTCAATTCATCTTCACCTGTGGTTCTTTTTTACTGACACCACTGTTTTCCTTGTCTTTTGCTTACCTGTCTGACTCTACTTTAACCATCCTGTCCTCCCTGTCCTCCCTGTCCTCCCTGTCCTCCCATCATGCTGTGTGTCCTTCAGGACAGGGCAGCCAACAGCAGCCTCCCTCCTCTGTGGCCCCCTCCTCCTCTCTGTCCCCCTCCTCTGTGGCCCCCTCCTCCTCTGTGGTTCTGTCCTCCTCTCTGTCCCCCTCCTCTGTGGCCCCCTACTCCTCTGTGGCCTCCTCCTCCTCTGTGGCCTCCTCCTCCTCTGTGGCCTCCTCCTCCTCTGTGGCCTCCTCCTCCTCTGTGGCCTCCTCCTCCTATGTGGCCCCCTCCTCTCTGTCCCCTTGCTCCCAGGCTCGTGTCAGCCAGTTTATCGGGCAGTTCGTGGCCTCCTGCGTGCTGGTGTCCGACTCGAACACGGAGCTGTCCTACGTGCTGCCCTCCGAGGCTGTGAAAAAGGGTTGCTTTGAGAGGTTGTTCCAGGTACACACACACACACACACACACACACACACACACACACACACACACACACACACACACACACACACACACACACACACACACACACACACACACACACACACACACACAAATGAATTGGTATTGGTGGATAAATAGTTAACATTTTTTAACAATTATTTTTCAAACGGGCACATTCATTTTTCCAGGATTCTAGAGTATGGTTGGGCATATTGAAGATTACATAACAAATTCATACATTTCTTATCAACCTGATCCAGCTATGTTCATTCTTTAGGGCAGGCTGTAGCCAACCTATTTTAATGTTAATTAATCCCAAAATGGGTTAATGTCTCAAAAATGAACCTTTGGGTTGGCACAATATTAACGCTTATTTTAATTTACCGCATCATCCAACAGCAGCGCTACAAACAGAATACAGTTAGAGGTTATTGTTCTCCTAACAATACATTTGCTTTTCTTTACACATATTTATCTTGTTGTTGTTTTTTTACGAATTTGTATTTATTGTAAAGTACTTTAGTTCTTTGGGGATTGAGAACCTTCAGCACAGGTAAAGATAATAAGAATTGTTAGCAATATACAGTGGAGGAAATAAGTATTTGATCCCTTGCAGATTTTGTAAATTTGCACACTTTCAAAGAAATGAACAGTCTTTAATTTTAATGGTAGCTTTATTTAAACAGTGAGAGTAAGAATATCAAAAAGAAAATCCAGAAATTGACATTATATAAAAGATACACATTGATTTGCATTTAACTGTGAGAAATAAGTATTTGATCCCCTTGCAACTACAACACGAATTATGGCTCCCACAGACCAGTTAGATAAGTACTTTTCCTTTAGGAAAGTACTCCTAATATCAACTAGTTACCTGTATAAAAGACACCTGTCCACAGAATCAATCAATCAGATTCCAACCTCTCTACCATGGGCCTGACTAAAGAGCTGTCTAAAGACCTCAGGGACCAGACTGTAGACCTGCACCAGGCTGGGACTGGCTACAAGACCATCAGAAAGCAGCTTGGTGAGAATGAGACAACTCTTGGTGCCATTATTCAGGAATGGAAGAAACACAAAATGAGCATCAGTCACCCTCGGTCTGGGGCTCCACACAAGATCTGGCCTCGTGGGGGAACTTGTTAATGATCTCAAGGCAGCTGGGAGCACAGTCACCAAGAAAACTATTGGTATCACACTACACCATAATGGATCAAATCCTGCAGCGTCTGAAGGCCCCCTGCTCAAGAGGAACATGAGAGGCCCGTCTGAAGTTTGACAATGAACATCTGAAGGACTCAGAGAAGGCTTGGGAGAAGAGGATGTGATCAGATGAGACCAACATCGACATCTTTGGCATCAACTCGACACGCCGTGTTAGAGGAAGAGAGATGCTGACTATAACCCCAGAACACCATCCGTCTGACGGGGGGTCAGCATGGAGGTGGAAACATTCTGCTTTGGGGTGTTTCTCTGCTAAGGGGACAGGACCACTTCCCTGCATCGAGGACAGGATGGACGGGGCCATGTACCATACAATCTTGGCCGATAGCCTCCTTCCCTCAGCCAGGACACTGAACATGGGTCATGGAGGGGTCTTCCAGCAGGACAATGACCCTGAACATACGGCCAAGGCAACACAGGAGTGGCTAAAGAAGAGGCCTAGCCAGTCTCCAGACCTTAATCCCATAGAAAATCTGTGGAGGGAGCTGAAGCTTCCAGAGGCCAAGCATCAGCCTCAAAACCTGAAGGGTTTGGAGAGGATCTTCAGAGAGGAGTGGACCAACATCCTTCCTGAGATGTTCACAAACCAGGTGACCAACTACAAGAAGCGTCTGACCTCTGTGTGTCCAACAAGGGTTTCTCCACCAAGTACTAACACATGTTTTGCAAGCGGATCAAATACTTATTTCCCACAATTTTTATATTTTATATAATGTCAATTTCTGGATCTTCTTTTCGATATTCTTACTCTCACTGTTAAAATAAACCTACCATTAAAATTACAAACGGTTAACCTGTTAAGCCCGAGAGGACCCTAATCCGGGTCTGGCGGGTGTTTTTTCACGAAACTGTGTCTCAGGGCTTCTTAATATTTAAAAACCTATTAATGTGTCATGCTCACTTAACGGTTAGAAACTCAGCTAACTGAAGATATGACAATTTCTACCAAAACAAAGCACAAGTCTCACAAGAAGCGTCTAAATTAGCACTGAGCGAAAAAATGCTAACGCACTTAGCACAGAACTCAAGGTAGAAATACCCTTATTACTTATCGTGACTGCACATACAAGATATCCGATTAAAGCTGAGATTCCACAGGTATTGGTATCATCACTGAGCAATCACAATTCGCGACAGGGGAAGCAAACACAGACATCACGACACGTAGCATCACGGAGCATTCATGGGACATCTCTTACCTTAGCTGTTGGTTTCTGATCAAAAGTCGTGTTCAATGCAGTGTTGTAGTCAAGTCACCAATTCACGAGTCCAAGTCACTCTCGAGTCACCACTCTTCGAGTCCAAGTCCGAGTCACCTAGGGAGAGTCGTAGTCGAGTCCGAGTCCAAGTCCGAGTCACCCAAGGAGTGTCCGAGTCGAGTCTGAGTCATCATTACCTGTGTTCGAGTCCGAGTCACCCAAGGAGTGTCGGAGTCGAGTCTGAGTCATCATTACCTGTGTTCGAGTCCAAGTCCGAGTCACCTAAGAAGAGTCCAAGTCAAGTCCGAGTCACAAGTCTTCATGTATTAATCTTCGTGGATATATGTGTTGAAATGTAGCTGCTCCTCTACATTGCTTTTATCCTGTCAGGTTATACTAATGTGTCTATTGAACTGCTGTGAAGCGAGTTTGGCTACAATTCTTGTAATAGGTGCTATACAAATATAAAGCTTATTACTAATATTAATATTATTACTATCCATAATTCAATTTTTATGTAAAAATTGGAGATTTAATATTAGCTGCTAATGGTAGCCACCAGTGTATCACAGCTTCCGGTTCCGGGGCATTCTGGCTGCGCAGCCAGTGTTGCCAACTCCATAGTAAGGAAAGTAGCTATTGGCTGTCCTAAAAGTAGCTAGAAGTCGCTAAATTATATCATCGGCTAATTTGAATATTTAGCAATTTGCACGTAGTTGTAATGGACGCCGAAGGAGAGACAAAAAGTGGGAAAAAAACACCCTTAATCTGTTTAGAACTACAAATGAACTTCCTTCTGTTGATTCTTATTTTTATTTGTTTTAATGTTTGGCCATCACTTGATGACTTTAATACTATGTCTACTCCAGACCAACATTACATACATACATTTTGTCCAGTATTGTTAAAGAATTAGTCACATTTAATCAAAATAATTGTTATGTGGGATGGAATTGCTACCTTCCTTCTTTATCTGGGCTTGGGACTGGCAAAGTGACCCAAAAGAGACACACTGCAAGCCAAGATCATCAATGGCTTTGCGCATGCGCGATTAATATTCAGTCTGGACGCGTAGTGTGTCTCTTTTGGGTCACTTTGCCACCTCTCTGCTCGAGTGCAGCTGCCTAGCGAGGCTGTGAGTGCTTTGGGAAGGCGGAGGGGCTCAGCACCCGCTGATCGTTGAGGAAAGTAACTGCGTAACGATAACGTGCTATCTCGTCAGATTCTCCAAACACCAGAAAAAGTAGCTGGATTTGTCGCTAGTTGCTTTTGACAAAAAAAAGTAGCCGGAGGGTTTGGAAAGTCGCCCGATTTAGCGAGAAAGTCACCAAGTTGGCAACACTGTGCGCAGCACTCATTCACCAATGGGTAATGTTTAGATGGATTTTAGGAACTTCCCCTCGATTCTATTGGCTCTAACGGTTAAAAATATAGACACATGCATTTCCAAACATTTGGACTACCTATGTTGCAAATGTATTATCTTTTCAATTTACACACGGCATCTATTGCACGTCTGTCTGTCCTGGGAGAGGGATCCCTCCTCTGTTGCTCTCCCTGAGGTTTCTCCCATGTTCCCTTTAAACTGTGGGTTTTCTCTGGAAGTTTTTCCTTGTACGATGTGAGGGTCAAAGGACAGAGGGTGTCGTATTGTCATACTGATATTCTGTACAAACTGAAGACCACTGAGACAAATGTAACATTTGTGATATTGGGCTATATAAATAAACATTGATTGATTGATTGAAAAAGAGATGTCAATCATCAAAATCAAACAAGGGAGGCCAGAGATATGGAAAATACACCCAAATGACCCCAGAAGTGGGTTTCTTTTTCTAGATCTCTCTAAAAAGGTCAAATGTTGCATCAATCTTGATACAGGGTACTTATTATATGTTATAGTTTGGATTCCTAAAGCTTTTAGTCTACTATCCCATCCTTCAAGGGTGGTTTTCACTATACGGACCACTATTGCGGTAAGCATGTTGTAACTTCCGGTTGTTGTCATCTCCGGGTATCCCGTGTGCCTGTTCTGTTGCTGATAGCTTATTATCTTAACTTAATCGATCGTTTTAAAACTCTTGATCACGGCAACTGCCTGACGTTGTAATCACACGTTACTATAACTTAAGCACTCACAACTCTCCTTCTCTTGGCGACTGTAACTCCACAGTTGCCTACACTCTTTTCGGGTTTGCTAACGGTAGCTACTTTAGCTTGATAGCTAGCCATGGCTCTTTCCCCACCCTCGGGTGCTATTTCCTGCTCTAACTGTCTCATGTTTGGTTACTTCCCTACCTCCTTTACTGGTACCGGTACATGTGTTAAATGTAGTATAGTTGTTAGGTTGGAGGCGGGAATCATAGCCATAGAAGCCCGGCTCCGCATCTTAGAAAGAAACTCAGCTACAGTAAAGCCCATGTTAGCTGGTGCGGACCGGCAAAAGGTAGCTCCTATTAGCTGTCCCCCGGCAACTCCCGAGCAGCAGGGAGACTGGGTGACTGTTCAGAAGGGGCATAACGCGAAACCCGCAGGTCCCCACCAACCCGTTCACGTATCTAACAGATATTCCCCACTCAGCGAGACACCCGCTGAGAAGCCAACTCTGGTTATTGGTAGCTCTATTATGAGACATGTGAATTTAGAGACCGAAGCCTCCACAGTCACATGCATTCCGGGGGCCAGAGCGGGCGACGTTGAGGCGCATCTTAAACTGCTGGCTAAAAATAAACGTAAATACAGTAGGATTGTTATTCACGTCGGTGGTAATGATGTTCGTATACGCCGATCAGAATGCACCAAACTTAATGTGGAGTCGGTGTGTAGTTATGCTAAAACAATGTCGGACACCGTAATCTTCTCTGGTCCCCTCCCCAATCTGATCAATGATGACATGTATAGCCGCATGTCATCATTTCAGCGCTGGTTGTCTTGGTGGTGCCCAGCAAACAATGTGGGCTTCGTAAATAATTGGACAGCCTTCTGGGGAAAACCTGGTCTGATTAAGAGAGACGGCATTCATCCTACTTTGGAAGGTGCAGATCTCATTTCGGCAAACATTTCAGGGCTTTGTGGACTTAATCCATGACAAACTGGAGTTGAGACCAGGAGGCGGAGTCGCAGTCTTACACGCTTCTCTGCGCTCTCTCCTAGGCAGTCATCCATAGGAATCCCGAACCCAATAAAATACCCAATATTAGCGGTGTGTGTGTCTGCCCAAGGACAAGTCAAGGTAAAACCTAATAGAGGTGTCATACATAATAACCTAATAAAAGTAAATGTAACAACTACTACAGTGCAACAAAACAGGAATATTAAATGTGGTCTCTTAAACATAAGATCTCTAGCATCTAAAGCAATATTGGTAAATGATTTAATATCAGATTATAATATTGATATATGCTGTCTCACTGAAACTTGGTTGAGACATGAAGAATATGTCAGCATAAACGAAGCCACTCCACCCAGCCATATCAATACTCATATTGCCCGAGGCACGGGCCGAGGAGGTGGAGTTGCAGCAATCTTTGACTCAAGTTTACTTATCAATACTAAACCAAAATTAAATTATACCTCCTTTGAAAGTCTTGTTTTTAGTCTTACGCATCCGACCTGGAAAACTTTGCAGCCAATCTTATTTGTTACAGTGTACCGTGCACCAGGTCCTTATTCAGAATTATTATCTGAATTCTCTGAGTTTTTATCAACTTTGGTTCTTAAAACAGATAAAGTAATTATCGTAGGTGACTTTAATATTCATGTTGACGATGATAAAAATAGCCTTACTGTTGCATTTAACTCTATATTAGATTCTGTTGGTTTTTGTCAGAGTGTAAATAAACCAACCCACTGCTATAATCACACTCACGACCTTGTTCTGACTTATGGTATTGAAATTGAGCAACTATTAGTCGAACCGCATAATCCTGCTTTATCCGACCATTTCTTAGTAACTTTTGAAGTACTGTTACGAGACTACAAAGCATTAGTCAAAAGCTCCTGCAGCAGAAACCTATCTGTTAGTGCTATAGCCAAATTTAAGGAAGAGATTCCACCAATACTTAACTCGATAGCATGTCTGCATGTAAGGGAGGAAACTTATACAAAATGTACACCACCCCAAATTGATCATGTTGTTGATAGTGCTACAGATGCGCTGCGAATAAAATTAGACTCTGTTGCTCCTTTGAAAAAGAAGAAAATAAAACAACATAGATTAGCTCCATGGCATAATGCCGAAATCCGCAAAATAAAGCAAAAGTCGAGACAACTTGAAAGGATATGGCGTTCCACTAAACTTGAAGAATCTCGTTTAATTTGGCATATTACTCTTAATGAATATAAGAAAGCACTGCGTAAAGCGAGAGCAGCCTACTACTCTTCATTAATAGATGAGAATAAGAATAATGCAAGATTTCTTTTCAGCACTGTAGCCAGGCTGACAGAAAGCCACAGCTCGATTGAGCCTTCTATTCCCATAGCACTCAGTAGTAATGATTTTATGTGCTTTTTTAACGATAAAATTGTTACTCTTAGAAACAAAATGAATGACCTCTTGCCTTTGACCAGTATAGTGTTATCAACAGCTCCCGGAAACGTAAGTTCTAATATTACACTAGATAGTAAACTAGAATGCTTTTCAGCCATAAACCTTGAACAATTAAATTCAATGATTCTCTCTTCTAAACCATCAACCTGCATGTTAGACCCAATTCCAACTAAGCTGTTGAAGGAAGTTTTTCCATTAATTAGCACTTATTTATTAAATATTATGAATATGTCTTTATTATCAGGCTATGTTCCACAATCATTCAAAGTAGCAGTGATAAAACCGCTTCTTAAAAAGCACAACCTCGATCCAGAGGTTTTAGCCAATTATAGACCTATTTCCAATCTTCCGTTCCTCTCAAAAATTCTTGAGAAAGCGGTCGCAAAACAGTTGTGTGATTACTTAAAAAACAATGATTTATTTGAAGCTTTTCAGTCTGGCTTTAGAACACATCATAGCACAGAGACAGCTCTGGTTAAAGTCACAAATGACATTCTAATAGCCTCTGACAAGGGACGTGTCTCTATTCTTGTTTTGCTCGATCTCAGTGCTGCATTTGATACTATCGACCATGATATCTTATTGCAAAGACTAGAGCACTTAGTTGGCATACAGGGAACTGCTTTAGACTGGTTTAGGTCTTATCTATCTGAACGCTCTCAGTTTGTACGTGTCAATGATGAATCTTCCACGCAAACCAAAGTTAGCCATGGAGTGCCACAGGGCTCAGTGCTCGGACCTATTTTGTTCACATTATATATGCTTCCGTTAGGCAATATTATAAGGAATCATTCTGTACATTTTCATTGTTATGCGGATGATACTCAACTATATTTATCAATCAAGCCTGATGAAATTAATCATCTAAATAAAATTCAAGACTGCCTTAAGGACTTAAAAACGTGGATGACCTTAAACTTTTTGATGTTAAACACGACCAAAACTGAAGTTATTGTACTTGGCCCGAAAAATCTACGAAACAAACTATCTAAAGATATACTAACTATGGATGGCATTAATTTGGCCTCCAGTGAGACTGTAAGGAATCTTGGTGTTATATTTGATCAGGATTTATCCTTTAACGCCCACATAAAATCAATTTCAAGGACCGCCTACTTCCATCTACGTAACATTGCAAAAATCAGGCATATCTTGCCTCAAAACGATGCAGAGAAACTAGTCCATGCATTTGTTACTTCAAGGCTGGATTATTGTAACTCCTTATTATCAGGGAGTACCAAGAAGTCAGTCAAGTCGCTTCAGCTGATTCAAAATGCTGCGGCTCGTGTACTAACCAGAGTTAGGAAAAGGGACCACATTACTCCTGTTCTGGCTGCCTTACACTGGCTCCCTATAGAACACAGGATAGAATTTAAAATTCTTCTTCTCGCCTACAAAGCCCTTAATGGGCAGGCGCCATCTTACCTTAAAGAACTCATTATACCCTACTGTCCTACTAGGGCATTGCGTTCCAAGAATGCAGGGTTGTTGGTTGTTCCTAGAGTCTCTAAAAGTACAATGGGAGCCAGAGCCTTTTCTTATCAAGCTCCACATTTGTGGAATCAGCTTCCAGTTTGTGTTCGGGCGGCAGACACCCTATCCGTTTTTAAGAGTGCGCTTAAGACCTTCCTTTTTGATAAAGCTTATAGTTAGGGCTGATTAGATTCAGCCCCTAGTTTTGCTGATATAGGCTTAGTTTGTCGGGGGACATCTTACTTCTTCCTTCTCTCTGTCTATACCTGTGTACTCTCATGTTCCGATTAACCCAGCTTCCCCAAATGTCTTTCTTTTTGGTGTCTATATACGCCGGGATCCGGAGTCATGGATGATCCTGCGCTCCTCTGTCCCTGATCGCGAGCCCTGGATCTTGAGTCGTGGCTGTGGTCCTGGATCATAGGTCCTGGATGGATATCCTCGTGGATTCATCTTCCTATTATACACACATGCATTTCCAAACATTTGGACTACCTATGTTGCAAATGTATTATCTTTTCAATTTACACACGGCATCTATTGCACGTCTGTCCGTCCTGGGAGAGGGATCCCTCCTCTGTTGCTCTCCCTGAGGTTTCTCCCATTTTTCCCTTTAAACTGTGGGTTTTCTTCGGAAGTTTCTCCTTGTACGATGTGAGGGTCTAAGGACAGAGGGTGTCGTATTGTCATACTGATATTTTGTACAAACTGTAAAGTCCACTGAGACAAATGTAACATTTGTGATATTGGGCTATATAAATAAACATTGATTGATTGATTGATAAGTAAACAAAAAAATGTTGGACAGACACTATAATTAAAAATGTTTTACTATGTTCAATCGGAATTTACATTAAAATAAAAAAGATCTATATTGATTCTGACTTTTTTACATCCAACTCACAGGTTTATCATTGCTTTGAGAAAAAAGATTATTAATTTGCCCCTTTTAAAAGGGAAGATTATGGTCATTTGTTCTGGGAATGTCATTTTCGAGCCTGAGACCTAAAAAACACGCTCAGGGTTTAACAGGTTAATTTCTTTGTAAGTGGGCAAACTTACGAAATCTGCAAGGGATCAAATACTTATTTCCTCCACTGTATAAATGTGACCATTGATCCGGATATAAATGACAGGCCATGTTGTGGTGTTATTGTGGGTCTTGGCAAAGGAGAGAGCTCATTGTACAGTTATCTGAGCGTCTCTTGTGCTATGTGTGCCTCCAGGCTTTAGAGCAGAGTCTGGACAGCCTCGCCCTCACCAGCTTCGGGGTGATGGACACCACCCTGGAGGAGGTGTTCCTAAAAGTGTCTGAAGAGGACCAATCTCTGGAGAACAGTGACGCTGGTGAGAGCACATTCTTCCCCCAGGTTTCCAGATAGCTCAACACCTTCACATGTTTTTAGCTTTCAAAAGTTATCCATGAATTTCCCATCACTAATAGATTTCTGCTCTGATTTCAAGCTCCGACCGGAGACCTTTTTGATTTTATTCTTTGGCTCCAGGGTTACTGGTTACTTTTCTTCCTCTCTGTCCATTGGCAGACATGAAGGGGTCCCCAGGGGGAAGCTCAGTGGGGAAATCCTCAGTGGGCTCAGCTGGCCTGGGATTGCCACAGGAGGGTTCTGGACCTTCAGTGGAGAGTGAGAATCCGGAGGTGGAGCTGAGTAATCTGATGTCGAGCTCCACCATGAGCCAGAGCCAGTCCTCTCTCAAATCCTCCTCGTCCATTGGTTCAGTGAGGGGCGATGAGGGGGGGCTCCACGCAGACTTCTATGGAGATTACTGTCCGCTCTTTGACAGCGGCCAGGAGCCAGACTCTGCCATTCTGAGGGGTGAGACAGAAATGCAGCAGCATGTGTGCCGAGTCATTGACTGAGACTCATGATTTCTAGGTTCAAGGTTCTTTATTATGTCATACGAACATAGCTACAGTGTAGTTATGTCGATGAAAATCTTAGGTCACAGGCTTCTTCAACAGTGCAACACAATAATACAGATAAACAGAAAAATAAAGTGCAAGTAAATAGTAAATACAAAAAGAAAAATAGTTTAAAAAAGTGAAATAGTGCAATAAGAGTCTATATGAAAGTTATTGGAATGATATATTAGACAAATAGATAAATAACAGTTCAGGTGTTTAATAGTCTTATTGCCTGTGAGATGAAACTGTCCCTGAGTCTGGTGGTTTTTGTCCGGATGGTGCGTGCAGTAGCGCCTGCCAGACGGCAGCAGACAGAACAGTTTGTGGCTGGGGTGATGGGGGTCTTTGATAATCCTGAGGGATTTCTTCCTGAGGCGCTGGGAGTAGAGGTCCTCCATGGATGGCAGCTCCGTCCTGGTGATGTTCTGTGCAGTTTTCACCACCTTCTGTAAAGCCTTACGATTTAGGGCGGTGCAGCTGCCGTACCAGGCCGTGATGCAGCCAGTCAGGATCCTCTCTATGTTGCACCTGTAGAAGGTCAGGATGCTCTCTATGGTGCACCTGTAGAAGGTCAGGATCCTCTCTATGGTGCTCCTGTAGAAGGTCAGGATGCTCTCTATGGTGCACCTGTAGAAGGTCAGGATCCTCTCTATGGAGCACCTGTAGAAGGTCAGGATCCTCTCTATGGTGCACCTGTAGAAGGTCAGGATCCTCTCTATGGTGCACCTGTAGAAGGTCAGGATCCTCTCTATGGTGCACCTGTAGAAGGTCAGGATGCTCTCTATGGTGCACCTGTAGAAGGTCAGGATGCTCTCTATGGTGCACCTGTAGAAGGTCAGGATGCTCTCTATGGTGCACCTGTAGAAGGTCAGGATCCTCTCTATGGTGCACCTGTAGAATGTCAGGATCCTCTCTATGGTGCACCTGTAGAAGGTCAGCATCCTCTCTATGGTGCACCTGTAGAAGGTCAGGATCCTCTCTATGGTGCACCTGTAGAAGGTCAGCATTCTCTCTATGGTGCACCTGTAGAAGGTCAGGATGCTCTCTATGGAGCACCTGTAGAAGGTCAGGATCCTCTCTATGGTGCACCTGTAGAAGGTCAGGATGCTCTCTATGGTGCACCTGTAGAAGGTCAGGATCCTCTCTATGGTGCACCTGTAGAAGGTCAGGATCCTCTCTATAGTGCTCCTGTAGAAGGTCAGGATCCTCTCTATGGAGCACCTGTAGAAGGTCAGGATGCTCTCTATGGTGCACCTGTAGAAGGTCAGGATCCTCTCTATAGTGCTCCTGTAGGAGGTCAGGATGCTCTCTATGGTGCACCTGTAGAAGGTCAGGATCCTCTCTATGGTGCACCTGTAGAAGGTTAGGATGCTCTCTATGGTGCACCTGTAGAAGGTCAGGATGCTCTCTATGGTGCACCTGTAGAAGGTCAGGATCCTCTCTATGCTGCACCTGTAGAAGGTCAGGATGCTCTCTATGGTGCACCTGTAGAAGGTCAGAATCCTCTCTATGGTGCACCTGTAGAAGGTCAGGATCCTCTCTATGGTGCACCTGTAGAAGTTGCAGAGTATCCTGGAGTCCATGTTGAACCTCCTCAGCCTGCGGAGGAAGAAGAGCCGCTGTCAAGCTTTCTTGGTGATGGTGGTGGTGTGAAGAGTCCATGTCAGGTCCTCAGTGATGAGTCCATGTCAGGTCCTCAGTGATGTTGAGCCCGAGGTCTATGAGTTTGATGGCCAGCTTGGAGGGCACAATGGTGTTGAAGGCTGAACTGTAATCAATGAACAGCATTCTCACATAAGTGTTCCTCTGGTCCAGGTGTGTGAGGGCAGTGTGGATGGTGAGGGCTATGGCTTCATCTGTGGACCTGTTTGCTCTGTAGGCAAACTGCAGGGGGTCCAGAGAGTCAGGGAGGGAGGAGGTGACAGAGATGTTCACAAGTCTTTTTTTGCAAGTCCAAGTCAAGTCTCAAGTCTTTGGTAACGAGTCCAAGTCAAGTCTCAAGTCTCTAAAAAATAAAAGTCTCATGTCTCTTCTGGTTGTAATAAGCCTTCTATTGTCTGCTGCTATCCAGTCTGTTAAGAATACTGCACAGCTATATCTAAGACATTCAAAGCATTTACTGTATTATTATCACTCCTATATCTATTAGCATACAGTATCAGTACTGATTAGTTGTTTGTTATATGATCACTTTAAACAGGCTATTGCAATATGAGGAAAAACATCACACTTTAGCTAAATGCAAACAACTTATAAGCAAAACACTTCAGAATCAGAAATCAGTATCACAAATACTTTATTAATCCCCCGCAGGGAAACTGTGTTAAAAGTACTTCAAAGTAAACATTTGTTCTGTGCCATTTGCAACTAAAAAACTATTGCTGCAATATTATCTGAAATATACTGAACTGGTGATATTAAAACATGACCTGTTCCAAAAGAGATATCTACCATTAACACCATTTACCAGCCAAATGCTGGTAAATCATGCAAGTGGCTGGTACTGTATGTTGCACGCACCAGCCAAAAATAACAATGGCAATCTATTGAGTGGCTGGTAACATTTCAACATTCACTAGGCTAGCCATTTGGCCAGTGGACAAAAATGTTAACATTTGACCTCTGCAACCGTATTGTTTAATTACACTGGGTCTCTAATGACATCTTTTAAGTCTACTATAAATAAACATATTCCTCTATCCTCTCACTCAAACCCAGTGTAATGGTAACCTGATAAACCTGTAACATTAACGTTACGTGGTCAACAATAAACCTGTAACCTGCCTATAAACCGACAGATGTATTTATGTATGTAACTATGTATTTTTCTACGTTTAACGTTAGCCAGTAGATGGTGGCAGCGGAACGTAATGATTAACGTTACCGACCTTTTTTATGTCATGTGAAGAGTTGTCAACGCCACTCAACGCAAACAAGTGTGACAAGCAAACATTCACTCATCTTTTCAAATATTCAGTTACAAAGCTAGTAGCAAGCTAAGTTAACATTACATAGCTGATGCTGAGCTAAACATGTTTGCTAACCGTCCATATGCGTTAATGTGACTGACCTCTCCGGGTGAGTTTTCAAGTGCCTGATGAAATTTGACGTTGTTGTACCAGCATCCTTGATTTTAATATTGCAGACTTTGCAGTGTGCGCTCCTTTTGTTGGTGCCGCCGGCGTTTTGTTCGAAGTTTTTATAGTTTAACCTAATTACAAGCGGTACAGCTGCAGGTGTGCCGCCGGTCGCCATGGTGTTACCATGATGTTAATGTTAAAGGTGGGGTAGGTAAGTTTGAGAAACCGGCTCGAGATACACTTTTTGTTATATTCCATGGAATGCTCTTAACATCCCGATAGCCGGCCCGGCTAAAGTAACTGGATGGCCTACCTGCCTGTCAGCCTGCCATCGGGGCACAAACTTATCTCGTGCCCTCATTGGTCATGTGCGCGTTTGTGTGTGTTGGAGGAGGGGCTCTGTGAGGAAGTGGCAGATTTTCTCCGGTTGTGTATTTTCAAATTCTAGCGATCTCGAGCTGGTTTCTCAAATGTACCTACCCCACCTTTAATACGCCAAAAATAGAAAACACAATGATTGTTCACGAGTCCCAAAACACGAGTCCAAGTCGAGTCCGAAGTCTTTTGAGCAGGAGTCCAAGTCAAGTCTGAAGTCTCTGTGTGTGCGACTTAAGTGCGACTCGAGTCCGAGTCACAAACTCGAGTCCCCATCTCTGGGAGGTGATGAAGGTTTTGACTAACCGCTCAAAGCACTTCATGATGATGGAGGTGAGTGCTACTGGGCGGTAGTCATTGAGGCTGGTGATTTTTGTCTTTTTGGGGACAGGAACGATGGTGGAGTGTTTTAAACATGTGGGGACTACAGACTGCAGCAGGGACCTGTTGAAGATGTCTGTGAACACCTCTGCCAGCTTAACTGCACACACCCTGAGAACACGGCCAGGGATGCCATCAGGTCCAGGAGCCTTGTGTGGGTTAACCCTTTTAAAGGATTTACACACGTCTGCCCTGTTTAAAACAAAAGGGCAGGGCTCCTGGTCCCTCTGTGCCTCCACAGCCTGGCTGCTCTCGAAGCAGCAACAAAACTGTTCAGCTCATCTGGGAGAGATGTAGACACTCCCGCAGCACCCCCCGCTGCTCCTTTGTAGTCTGTCATTGTTCTTAGTCCCGCCCACATGTTCCGGGTGTTACAGCCTTTGAAGTCAGACTCCACCTTCTCTTTGTACTGTCTCTTTGCACTGCTGATTGCTCTCCGGAGTTCATATTTAGATTTCCTGTACTCCTCCAAATCTCCAGCTCTGTGCGCGCTTTCAGCTTGCCGCGCACCTCGCTGTTTATCCAGGGCATTTGATTTGGGAATGTTCGTACAGAAACCTTCCGTACCACGTCATCGATGCATTTCCCAATATAGCAGATGACCGTGTCCGTGTTGATGTTGTTGTCCTCAAACACACTCCAATCCGTAGAGGCAAAGCAATCCTGCAGAGCTAAATCTGACTCCACACTCCATCGCTGTACTGTCCTTGTTTCCGGTCTATGCCGTTTAAGTTTCTGCCTGTAAGCAGGCAGCAGCAGCAGATTATCACAACAGATGTGAATTCTCTCGGCAGGTGAAAAGCCTGTGATCATGAGGTGCTCTAAATGAGCAGAACAGTCCGAAGAAATAATCCTCACATCTGTAAACCAGTTGTTATTAGTCATTAGACACACACCGCCATCTTTACTTTTTCCTGAGTTATCTGTCCTGGCGAAAAATAGTGAATCCGTCAGGAACAATGGCGGAGTCCGGGATTGCGGGGTTGAGACAAGTCTCAGTGAGAATTAACACGTTACAGTTCTTAATGTCCCGTTGAAAAGCAATCCGAATTCTGAGTTCATCAAGCTTATTTTTAATGGATTTAACATTAGCCAGAAGAATACTCAGAAGAGAGGGTCGGTTTTCTCGTTTCCTCAGTCTGACCAGCAGCCCGGCACAGGACGCCCACTTTGTCTTCCTCCTGCGTCTCTCAGGTAGGACGGCAGGAGGCAGCCATGGCGAATCTCCATTGTCTGTCGGTAGGTTATTGTCCACAAAGTTTCTGATGTGAAGAAGTTCCTCTCTGCTATATTGTATTGCAGAGTTGGTGCGGTCGGCTTGCATGTTGCGAACCATGTTTAAAGTAAACGGCAAAAAGTAAATAAACACAAACAAAATACGAAAAAGGGCAAATTTGGAGAGGACCCAAAAATGTTTAGTCCATACATCAAATATGTTGTTCTTTCTTTATTTACCCACAATAGGCCTAATGCAGGAACTACTCTTATGAACAGGTGTGGTCTTCAGTGGCATGTACATGGACTGTGAGGACAGTCTCCACAAAATACATCAGTATAAATTATTTTGGCGGAAAAATATGTTGCTGAACCAAAACAGAGATACATTTAACATAAAACGTTATGAAAGAAATGTGTGATCTTAACTTTTATTTTAGTATTTTTTTACATGATTTAAATCACAGATAGTTTAGCTCTAAATGTTTGTCACTACAGCTCTACTATGCACTTTACCACAAGAATGAACTGCAAAACCAACTGACATTAGAGGAACTCGTATATTGCAGGGACGTTTCAATTTTGTTTCGCATGTGTTACATTTCCTCAGGTGTTAAATACATATTATCTGAATCAGAATTCACCTATAGTGTTGTTGTCTTTATTGAACTGCATAATGTGTTTAAGTCTGCAGAATCATCCAGTAATGCAGACATGACATGCAGCTGCCATCACTACAAACCATTTCATTCATTTTTCATGCGATGTGTCCTTCACCTCCAGGAGATGCAGATAAATGTCCGTCCCAAGAGCCGGAGGTCCTGGAGGGGCAGGGCAGCTTCAAGCTGGAGGGCTGGTGGTTGAAGCTGAGTCAGTTTCATGGCCTCATCGTCAAGAGGTTCCACTGTGCCAAGAGAAACACCAAGGGCCTCTTCTCTCAGATCCTCCTGCCAGCCTTCTTTGTCTGTGTGGCCATGACTGTGGCCTTATCTGTGCCTGAGATTGGTGAGATTTTACATATAAAGGTTGAACATAGCTTTGTATCCTGCTTCTCCAGAAACAGTTTTCTTCTGTCCTACAAGGCAGTTAGAAAGGGACGTTATGGAAAAAGCAAGTGAATAGATACTGTCCTGCTGCTGAAGTGTTTGTGCTGTTGATTAAACTCATTGGTTATTACATTACATTACATTGCATTTAGCTGACGCTTTTATCCAAAGCGACTTACAATAAGTACATTCGACCAGGAAGACACAACCTTGAAGAAAACAGAATCATATAAGTACATCAGGTTTCATAGAGCCAAACATTTCAAGTGCTACTCAACTGGCTTTAGATAAGCCAGCCCTTTATTAGTATATAAGTGCTTTGTTAATAATTATATCGCTCGAAGTGGAGTCGAAAGAGATGAGTTTTCAGTTTGCGCCGGAAGATGTGCAAGCTATCTGCTGTCCTGATGTCAATGGGGAGCTCATTCCACCATCTTGGAGCCAGGACAGCAAACCCACGTGTTTTTGCTGATGGGAACTTGGGTCCCCTTCGCAGCGAGGGTGCAGCGAGTCGTTTGGCTGATGCAGAGCGTAGTGCACGTGCTGGGGTGTACAGTTTAACCATGTCCTGGATGTACGAAGGGCCAGATCCATTCGCAGCATGGTAAGCAAGTACCAGTGTCTTGAAGTGGATTCTAGCAGTTACTGGAAGCCAGTGAAGGGAGCGGAGGAGCGGAGTGGTGTGGGAGAATTTAGGAAGGTTGAAGACCAGACGAGCCGCTGCATTCTGGATGAGCTGCAGAGGTCGGATGGCACATGCAGGTAGACCAGCCAGGAGGGAGTTGCAGTAGTCTAGGCGTGAGATGACGAGAGCCTGGACCAGAACCTGCGTCGCTTTCTGGGTCAGCTGGGGACGTATCTTCCTGATGTTGTAAAGCGTGTATCTGCAGCAACGGGTTGTAGCAGCGATGTTTGCAGTGAAGGACAGGTTGTTATCTAGGATCACACCCAGATTCCTTGCAGTCTGAGTCGGGGAAACAACTGAGGTGCCGATGTTGATTGTTAGGTCAAGAGTGGGACAATCTTTTCCCGGAAGAAAAAGCAGCTCAGTCTTGTTTGTAGACAGCTGATTGCATTATTCTGCATTATATGGGTTTATTGCATTCATCCAGCTATGAAGCAGTTCTCTATTTGGCTTGGCAAGCAAAAACAAGCAGGACTTCTTCTGAGGAGTACAAGGATCCAACAAAGTACCGATGCCCCTAAAGGTTCATGGAAAAAACTAAAAGTATCTCATGCGCACAATATACTTTCTCGTGCGCAAGATACTTTGTTATGGTTAGACACATCGAACTGCACGATTATTACACCATATTATTAGTTTTATGAAGAAGATGTCCGGTCATCAGGGCGTGTGTGTGTATGTATGTGTGTGTGTGTGTAAACAAACTTCTTTCACTTCTGAATACACATATGGAGCCAGATGTGTGTAAATGACTGTTCATGGTAATTTGCCAGTGTTGGACAAATACACCAAACACACACACACAGAGCGGAGCTGAGCAGAGCACAAATACACACACATCATGTAGCATTTCCCTCTGAATAATGGTCGAAGACTTGACTGATGATATGAATTTATTGAAATCTCCAATATCAACGTAAGAGCTTGTGCCTCTTCGTAATTTACACATCATGCGACCGGACCGGACATCTCCTTCATAAAACGAGTAATAGGGGGAATAATCGGGCAGTTCGCAGTGTGTAGAGGTGTGTGTGTGTGTGGTTAAAACGTAGCAGCCTCGATCTCTATTCAGCTGTTCTAATGAAGGTAAACACAGTGAATGCGTCGCGTAAAAGGCACAGCTCTCTGCGCGCAGATAGCTGATACTGTGAGAGTCACGGACATGAATTCATAGCTCAAGGCAGACTGGTTTAGACCCTCCTGTTTTGCGAATCCGGTGCTTAAACAAATAGATCTACACCTCTGGCCGAAATGTCCCTAAAATGAAGTCCGAGTTTGAAATATATCTCAAATAATGTGGGACCGTCCCGTAGGCCACAACAGACAAACAGAGAGAGACGTTCAAGGGTTCCAAAAACCACAGCACTTTATTTGTGATCGTTCCAAATGCAACACCGGAAACAGGAGAGGATGGGCGAGGGGAAAGGATCATGGCGAGAGTCCTCCTGCAGCAGGCTTGGAGAGAGTCATGTGACTCTGGGCAGCTGGGCTTAAGTAGCACCTCAGCTCCGGCCAGGTGTCCCCGGTCATGCTGATTGGCCTCTTCAGCTCCACCCCATCGCAGGACCTGCAACACACATGCACACCACTAACAGGCTCTGGGGCCGTCACATGTCATATGCTGCCATTTCCCCTCATAAACATAACAGTCTGCAATGAAACGGTTGTCTTGAGAAAGTATCTCGCAGGCACGAGAAAGTATATTGTGCGCACGAGACACTTTTTTTCCCATGAACCTTTAGGGGCTCCGTAATTTGACCCTCATTTGTCAAAAATGTTGAACATTGTTGTTCATGTCTGTTCTGGAAATGTACGCAAATAAGTATATCATTTTAAAAGGATATTCCCTAATATTATTATATCAATTTAAAAAAAAAAATGTCTTAATGTTAGTTATCAACTGGGAAAGCTAATTTGTGATATACCTTAGTTCAAAGGTTTCGCCTAAAGTATTCACCTGTAGGGTGCAATAGTTGCATGCTTTGTATCTTCCTTGCCGGTACATGTTGAGGTTTAGCAGTACTTTTCAAAAGAATCCCTAACATTTAGTTTTTCTTGTTTTACAGGAGATTTACCACCCCTAATCTTGTCCCCATCTCAGTATCATAACTATACACAACCTAGAGGCAACTTCATCCCTTACACCAATGAAGACAGATCCCAGTACAGGTAAGAAGATATTTTTATTAACAGCAATTGGACCATACAGACTGGTATGTCATGGTTCAGCCTAATGATGAGTGTTATTTTAGAAAAGACAGACTCAAAAGTTGACCATTGCTTTTGGGGAAAAGTAATTACCACATGTCAACAGATGGCAGCTTCCAAATGAAATTAAACTGAACATGATTGTCAACTAGGTCAGCTAAATGCCAACATGCTAACATGCTCCCTAATGACACTTCTAACAACATAGCATAATTACCAGAGGTATGGACTCGAGTAAGACTTGAGTCACAAATTTGACAACATTTCGACTTGACAAAATCACAAAACACTTGCAACTCGACTTGGACTTAAACACCAATGACTCTGGACTTGACTTGGACTTGAGCCTTCTGACTCGAGGTGACTTGATACTTTAATTCATGGGTCTCCATAGCTGTGTCTCACTTCTCTTAACTGCCATCCTTGCGTCCCTCACTTGCGTATTTTTCTTGCGTCTTAGACCCTCCCGCGGGGGTGTTTCACAAACACCCCCGCCTCTGTTAGTACACATTTACTGACATAAACATTTGTATCATCTGTTGTAGACCAAAATAAATAAACTAAAATAAGAACTCATTTTCAAAAACAGATAAAAGCCATTCTTAAAATGTATGAGCAAACTATAGTTTCATATTTATTTGCGTGCACAATAGAAAGAAAATAATTGAGAGAAGAGAAAGCATAACAGAAATATTGTGGGTTAAATAAACGTGAACAGATGTTGCATTATCGTAACGGTATTGTTGTAGGCATAACAATAACATTAAGTAACGGCAATACACTTGTGTTGGCTGAGACAAATCACGTAATTCATGTCTCAGCTGTGACTGAATGGAAATAACAATAAATACAAATGTAAAACGAAAAAAGTTGTTCCTGCTGACAGATATTAAATCTGTCTCTCTTTTAATTGTATTGTGTTCATAATAAAAATGAATTGAAGATCATGACATTTTTAGACTATTCATAGACTATTCCTTGCACCCCTCTTCTAGCATATGCCCGAATGGTCTCAACCATATTGCATCAGTAACGTGCACTTGTTGTTACAGCAGGATCAGTTTGTGTGTTGTGGACACGACCCGTATATTTTTGCAAGCCGTGTTCTCAACATTTAGCATTTTGCTTATTATTTAATTTGCTTACTTTAACATCACTTCTCATGGTGGGGCTAAGGTGGGGCTAAGCCATTTCTTGGGATGGCTCTAGCCTACCCCAGCCATACCCTGGCGCCGCCACTGTCTGCTGTTAAGAAACATCAGATCAGTGCATGTGCTGCATCGTCCAATCAGTGAGCGATACACAGTAAGGGGGTGGGGCGAGTTTCTGAGGATTTCACCGGAGGATGGTCCGCTGGTTCCTCGATTATCGCTCCTCTGTTATCACGCCTCGATCCTCGGTCCTCCGGCACAAAGAGCCATGGGACGCTCCTCAAGATGGCGCATACAAATCAACTTCCGGTGATACCAAGGAGCGAGGAGCTATGAGCGAGGAAATGAAAATGAAATAACTTGAGATCCACCCCAACACGTCGATCGCGAGCTACCGGAAGAAGAGCCGCCTCCCGTCGGGGAGAGCCGAATGTTTAGCGGCTGCTGCTCAGCATTGCTGAGGATCCATGCATTTCAATGATATTGGAGAATGCAAAGCTTAGTGCAGGATTTGTGAAATGAAAATATCCTTCAGAGCAGTAGGATTCTTTTTTTTAAAACCACTCAGGATTTATTTCCAGAGGTGGGAGAAGTACTCAGATATTGTACTTGAGTAAAAGTAGAAGTACCAGAGTGTAGGAATAATCTGTTACAAGTAAAAGTCCTGCATTCAAAATGTTACTCAAGTAAAAGTACAAAAGTATTTTCATCAAAATAGCAAGTGGGTGTTCTTTTCCCCATAATGACTGCCTCGCTGCACATTATCCCTTGCATACAAATAGATTGTGGGTCCCTTATAACATGTTATATCTCTCACAGGCTCCGCCCTCTACTGGACTCTATGGGTACTCCCCTTGATCATATCATGCAAGCATTCATCCACTGAGACTTTTTAGACGTAGCCGGCCCCGGGGCGGGCCTACCTGAATGCGCGCGCATCCCACCGCATAAAAGGAGGCCTCGCCTCCTGACTGTCATCCCTTTCTCTTCAGCAAGCAAGAGAACAACTGAGTGAAGAGAGACAGAAAGAGAAAAATTGACTCACCATTATTGGAGCAGCGACCCTGCCCTTCGTGCCTGGGCGTAATTGCAGGCGCCAACCTCCACCGTCGGTGTATCGAGTGCCTGGGGTCTGACCACGCGGCGGCCAACCTGGGCCCGCTTCCGGCCTGCAATGCCTGCCGCCTGATCCCTCGGCTCAGCCGCCGCCAGCGGCTGGAGCAATTCAAGGAGTGTCATGTCTCGCCGGCGGAGGACCCATAACTCGAGGTGGTGGATATGGAGGAGCACGATGAGGGAGTGCCCTTCATGTTCGCCATGCCAGCGGACCAGACGGGCCCGCTCGTCGGGGAGAGGAACGACGACGGCGACACCTCGTTGTCTGATACTTCCGGCGGCCGCCAGGAAGGCCCGCAGCACAGGTCTGCGCGGCAGGACTTCCCGGCGGTGACGACTTCCCGGCGGTGACGACTATGGCGGCGGAGCGTGTAGGCTTACCGCTCCCCCCACCGCTGCTACTGAGGCCGGTGAACCGCCTACGTCAGGGCTTCTACGGCCCTTTAACCACACACACCTCTACACACATCGAACTGCCCAATTATTCCCCCTATTTTATGAAAGAGATGTCCGGTCACCAGGGCGCATAATGTGTTTGTGCTCAGCTCCGCTCTGTGTGTGTGTGTTCGGTGTGTTTGTGTGTGTCCGACAGAGATGGGGTCGTTACTCAAAAAAAGTAATATATTACATATTACTTTTTTTTAAACGCGTTACTTTACTCGTTACTTTACTCGTTACTTTAATCGCAGGGCCGCCCCTCCCTACAGGCAGATCACGCAGACAGCGGAGGGAGTCTCATCTGAGATGCGCAAATGTGGCGCACCTAAAGTGTTACTCTGTGGTGATTGACATTATTCACCCACGGATCTATGGGTTGGGGTATTGTTGTTCCGCACGGACATTTGAGTTAACCGGACTTCCTGTTTTCCCCGGTCTTGGCTTCCCGGGCTTGAAGCTATTTACATGTTGTTTATATATACAGTCTATGGTTGTTCTGATGCTAAATAAAAGTCTAGCTTGTACCTTTGATACCCCGCCTCCGACTCCTGTCTCTCGACACTACAACTCGTTACTTTACTCGACATCCTCGACATCCTCACTCTGGATTCGGAGGTCCTCCTTAGCTATTAGCTTCACGTTAGCATGTTATCTTTAAGGTGCTTGTTGAGGTTTGACGTTGTGTTTGCAGCAGTGGATAAAAGCTTCTGGCCTGGGGCCTCATTTATAAAGGGATATACGCTCAAAAAATGGCGTACGCCAGTTTCTACGCAATGTTTGCGATTTATAAAATACTAACTTGACGGGAAAATGTGCAGTCCTCCACGCAAACTCTAACCCATGCTAACCTAAGCACAAAAACGGGAGAGACGAGAAACTGCGACACCGTTGGCAGAAGGAAGAATGGAGAGAAATATGTGGAAATAATACCATGAATAAAATGTTACCTCTCATTTATCATTTATGAAGAATTCATTTTCAAACATTGATTAAAGCCAATCTTAAAATGATTTAACAAACGCATGTTTGCGACTCCTCAGTGCACACAAACACATAACTTGGAGAAATAAATAAATACGGATATGTTATTGAAAACCACCTCGAATATGTTGTGTTAATGTTATGAAATGTTTTCTCATAAATGATGCGGTAAGCAGAAGGACAGAATTACGTCTAAACTGACGCCGTGTTGCATTTCCATAGGTTGTAGATACGAGCAAGGTTTTATATACTATCACGTTTAATCGTGTTTTATGCCGTTTGCCAAGACTTGATAAGTCGCTCATAAAACACAGGAGGTATGGAAGCTAAGAACACCATATGTGGTCAATTGTACAGCTAATATAACACAACACATTAGTTGTATTTCCTTTAACTGGTGGATATAGGGTTGCTGCGGGGGGGGGGGGGGGGGGGGGGGGGGGGGGGGGTGTGAGACGCACAGGCTGCGCACAGCTGATCGACAGCTGGAACACAAACCACCAAATACAAAAACATAATTCAGATCCAGTCGTCATGACTCCACTCCGGAGGGATTCCCCGATCTTTTCTTAGTTTCTCATCAAGGGGGTCTCCTGTCCCCGGTACAAACACACTGCCTGAGGAAGGCTATGTGTATTTTTTTTGTCATTAACTTTTTTCGGACCACTTATTTATTTATGTTGGTGACGATCCGACCTCCATGCTGCTCCCCTGTTCAAACTGCATCCACCAAATAATATGATTTATCTCCACCTCCCCAAAATAACCAGAATCTGACACGGTGCGAGATGTATTTTTTAGCTTTCTGCTGTCATTTCCTGCAGTCAGTCAGAATGAATGAAGGAATGGGCGTTTCTTTGACTATTTATAGGCAAATATGGGAGTTACGTGAAGCCCGCAAAAGCTGCACCGCATTTCGAGTCGATTGTGATTTATAAAAGGGAAACCGGCGTAGGAAGTGCCGTACGCACTTTCCTCGCCGGTACGCAATGTTTTGTGAATCGGAACATGTCGGAACATTTCTGTACCTATTTTTTTGCTTTGTACTACGTAAGCAACCTTCCCACTTGAGTCCTACGCACGGCGTTATAAATGAGGCCCCTGGACACAGTTTGCACCTCACTGTCACATTCCTGTCCTTTCTTCGGACGAACTCAAAACCCCCTGAAAGTTATCGCTGTTGTTGACTCAGCCATGTTTATGCACTGCATGTGGACGGGCAAGTCGTGCAAATGCTACGTAAATATAAACATGCGGCGGAAATCCCTCTTGTCTGTCAAATGGAGAATCTAGTAATTCTGTATGTTAGTAGGCTAACTGTAGTGTAATTAATGATTATAACGTTATAATGAAGTAACGAAGTAACGCGTGTCGGGCAATGTTAGTAACTGTAGTGTGATTACTGAATTATAAAAGTAACGCGTTACATTACTCCGTTACCGACAAAAGTAATATTATTACAGACACCCAACTCTGGTGTCCGACACTTGTTGAATTTGTTTTCAAATGACCATGAACAGTAATTTACACACATCTGGTTCTCCATAGTTATATGTGTATTCCCAAGTGAAAGAAATGAGTTTAATCTTAATCTCGATGTAGTGCTATAGTCCTGCCGGAGTGCACCGGAACGAACAACACTATCATAAACAAATGCTCACACACACACACGTAATAATCGGGCAGTTCGACGTGTTTTACGGTTTTACCATAAGAAAGTATCTTGTGCGCACGAAAAAGTATCTTGTGCGAACGAGAAAGTAGATATTGTGCGCACAAATTAATAAAGCGTGGCCTCGTTTTAATTAAATTGGGGCCACGAATGACATCTCGTGCGCACAAATTAATAAAACGTGGCATCTTTTTATTTATTTTTCTCTCTATGAGCCCTCCAGGGCTCCGTACGGGATACAATCAGACAGGTGAAAAAACGTGAGTTATAGTCCGGAAAATACGGTATCTTTGAGTAATCAAATATAATACAAACATGCCTGAGGACAACAAACACACAAGGTCATTTAACACCTTGTTAAATGACCTTGTGTGTTTGTTGTCACATCACTACAAAAACAGAAGACAGGAAACTCAGTACCCCAGTAACTAACCATCAGTTCATCACCCCCCGACAGCTCCCTTAAATTATCGCAGGGCTTTGACTCTCTTTGTTTCAAAAGTAATGGCCCATTGGAATGTGACACAACTCTCCCATCCCCCCTCAGTTCTCCAGCAGTGGTCTGAAAGGGTCTCTGGAAATATCAAACATTTAATTAAAGTTTTAAAAAGAGTGACGGGGTCCAAAATCAGAGGTGGAAGTAGTATTCAGATTATTTACCTAGGTAAAAATACGTGTTAGAAGTAAATGTCCTCCATTCAAAATGGTCAATTACACAGGTGAAAAGTATTATTATCTGAAAGTCAAATGAATCATTATGTTATTAGTGTTAAATACATATACATAAGTATTTTTACAACTTATATTTAGAAATACTAATGTTGTAATTATTGATGATCAATGTGGCATCTGCTATGGGGTTAATGTATGATATTACTTAATAATACAATACATTATAATACATGATAATGTATAAGTTGATTTACTTCGATCTACTGTACTGTGTACACCACAACAATATTACAAAGAATATATATACTGCATATTAAAGCAAACTATTGTAAAGGTAAAAGTATGAGCATAACAAATAAAGAAGTGTAAACATTTACATTATTATTATGATTGTTTAATATATAAAGACTATATATTATTGAATTACAATTAAGATAATAAGATTAGATACTTTATTTGATCTAAAATATTGATGTTTTTTCGTTATAGTAGCCTGTGTAAACCATAACAAATAAGTGATTAAATGCTATTCAGCAAACACAGCTGCAGAGCTGCAAACATTACTGAAGTACTGAAAGTCCATGAAACAAACTGAAGACCAAATTTCACCCTTTGTGTATTTGTGAATGAAGCGCCATCTCATGGTTAAATCCTGAAATTGAACAAATGGGGAAATCTGGCAACGCCCTCTCAGGAAATAGTGGGAGGGCTTTAAAATCCCAGCCACTGGTAAACGCAGGGTTTTTGGTTGGAATCTGCTGGGTGGAGTCCTTTCTATAGTGCTACATCTGTAATGTATAATTTAGTAAAAAATGTGATATATCTGAACAACAAAGTGGACAATCCAATGAATGTTAATCTAACATATCCGTTTTTCTTCTCTCAATCATTTTCATTCTTTTGTGCATTCAAATCAATATTAATCAAACTATTGTTCGTTTATACATTTTAAGAATGGCTTTTTTCTTTTTTGAGAATGAGTGTTATTTTATTTATTTGGGTCTACAACAGATGATACAAATTTGTATGTCAGTAAATGTGTACTAACAGAGGCGGGGGTGTTCTGAATACAACGGGGACAGAGCTGGCTGCTGTCAGACATCAGCTGTGCGACGTCATCACAAACAGACGTCGCTTCACGTGGCGCTCTGGAGGAAAGGACGTCCCATTGCTCTTAAAACTAATTCCTCTGCTTCTTCTCCCTTCTCGTGGTTTCCTTGCGTCTCTCCATGCTTCCCTGGTGGGAAGGAAAAGACGCAAGTGAGGGACGCAAGGATTTAAGTTAAGAGAAGTGAGATGCAGCCCAAGAACATAAGGGAAGACACAACACTAATCACAGAGACAAGACACAGCTGGTGAGGGGGGGGACACAGGGGCAGCAGGTGAACACAGGAGGGAAAACACAGGAAGTAAAACCAGACAAGACACAAGGAGGAAAATACATTTCAAAATAAAACAGGAAACTAATATCATAATTTACTCTAATTATAAAGGTATGTCTGTTTTCTTGTCTTTTTAATCTATTCACACACATTTCTTTATTGATATCTTTGTTTAATATTCTACTTATTGGGCTGATTTGACCGTTTTGCTGTTAGCTTGTCCATCAACAACAGTTTTGAAAATATAAACATTTGACTGTCAATGACCAGTTCAGAATGTTAGCTCATCATCATTGGCCTCCCCTCTCAGGATTAGGCTGTCACCGGACGCCAGCCCACAGAAGATCATCAACACCCTCCGTCTGCCCTCGGGCGTGGGGGCCACCTGTGTCCTCAAAACCCCCTTCAACAGCACCCTGGACCAGCTGGCCCAGACCCTCAACCCCAGCGCCAACAACTCCAAGACCCTGGCTGCACGCTACTTTGACTCCATGTGTCTTGACTCCTTTACACAGGGGGTCCCTTTCTCCAACTTTGTACCCCCCCCTCCCTCACCAGCGCCTTCAGATGACCCAGATCCTGGCTTTGAGGACGGACTGTGGAACTACACAGCCGCCCATCCGACCGCAGTGCATGGTGAGTCCTTCTCATAAGGCTTGTGACCACTTTAATATGAGCACTGCAGGCCCAAATATATCTTACATAAGAATATATCAGCCTGGCATAACAAATATTCAAACATTAAACACAAGAGTAAAACAACATTAATAACCATAAGTCTCCTACTCCTGATCCCCCCCCCCTTGCTCAGGGTAAATATTACAATCATACAGATTTAAAATCCTAGTTCACATTCAAAGTTCTCATTTTAATGTAAGCGAACAGCAGGGGCGGCGGGTGCTGTAGGCTAGGGAAGGCTAAGCCTTCCCTAATATTTGTGTAACTGCATCCTGGTAAAATAAAAATATAATGTATTTGACATTAGCGCTGCTATGCAGCCACCTGTGCCCTGTACCACGAAGCCAGTTCAACAGACCCTGGATATGCTTGAGTTATCTTAACTAACCCTAACAAACGCGATCTCGCTAAACGGTCCTACGACGCTGGTTATCAACTCGGTAAATCAAGCCAGGGTTTCTTTCGCCAGCTGAGAACGCGTTCACGTGAAAGGGGCGGGGTTAGCTACATTTGACCAATCACAAACAGGGACAAGTGTACTGACAGCGCAACATCATACTTCATTAATGAAAAGTAAACTAATATTAGACAAATATGAACTTTAAACATCCATGATGACTTAAACATATAATCCAGGATACAAGCCACATAGTTGCACCTGCAAGGAGAATACAGAACAACTCGTTAAAAAATAAACTACCGAGTGTTTGAAAGCGTACAACAGTTTTATGATACTGCCCCATCTAAAACACGAGGGGATCTGACTTTATTACATTTGAGTTGAGTGTTTCGTCAACTTAATGTGTGGCTTAAAATAATACGTCTGCATACAGTATATGTGACAATGTAACTAAGTGTTGCACGGCCAGATACGGCTCGAGAAGCTGACTCAGATAAGGAAATATTGTGATATCGATGTGAGATCGATGATCTGATTGATGATGTGATGTCAGTGTGATATGAATGATAAGTGCGACACGTCGGCGTCTTCTCTGCATACGGCAGTTTAAACTGCATTTCCTTTTTCCTGTAATATGACTTGATAGATTTAAACTCCGCACACTGAGCTCTGATCGGTCAGCAGGCGGTGCTTTCACTGAGTTGATGTCTTTTCTATAGACGCCGGAGGCGGGCAGCGTAAGATGAAAAAATAAGTTATTTAGCCTTCCTAAACCTGAGCCTCACGCGCCGCCTATGGCGAACAGTCCAACTGGTGTGTGAATAATGCCTCCACTGATTACTTTGTTGCCAATGGATACATCATACATTCACAAAAAAACCATTAGCAAGGATACCAATGGCCTGCATAACCTCAATAACATAAATAGCTTTACAAGAAAAAAATCCTTATGCCATTGAAAATTAGATCACTGTGATAATGAGAAGTAGTAGAAAACAAATCCCTTATTTTTATCTTTTCATTCACTATAAGCCCTTTGACCCTTTCTCATACCAAAGCAATTGTTGCATAAAAATGAGCATTTGTCGCATAGCAAGCCAATCACAGGTCTATCTTATAACATTGATAATGGCTTCACTCCAATCACGTGATTCTTCTGTCACTGATGATTTGATCCAAGGACCAGAACAAGAGGATAGTGCTTGAGTTGTGGCCTATTACCTACTGTACTATGAAGGTAGTAAAGTAATAGGAGGGAGACTCTCACGCACTATTGCTCCCAAGTTGTCAACGACAACACACTACAGCCAAACTCCTTCCATTTACCTTTTACAATGAAATCTCTATACATATACACGGCATTACCGCTTACAAGTGATCATTTTGCGAAGAGGAAACTCAAAATGATATCTTACATTAGGTTGATGTTCTAGTAGACGGTGGGATTTAGGTTTGTAGTTATAATTGGGATGTGTGATCCTGCGGAATAACCATCACCATCTCTGTTGTACAACCAATGCAGTGTGTCCTGTGTTGATAGCTCTGAGGAAAAGTGATTCAGTGGTCTGTCGGCTCGACAGTAAAACTAGCAGTCTGATGCAACTTTAATGAGTTTGATTCAACCAGTGTGTCCTGCTATGACAAGTCAAAATGTAAAGAAAGGACTACTGATTAAAATAAACGGCCTCATTGTTTCCTCAGAGCCTGTGACGTCCCCCCCCACACTCCCCCTGTCCCTACATGAGCCGGTGCGTTGTACCTGCTCTATGCAGGGGACAGGGTTCTCCTGTCCCAGTGGGGTGGGGGGACGCCCCCCCCTCATGAAGGTGGTGACAGGAGACATCCTGGTGGACATCACAGGCCGCAACGTCTCTGAGTATCTGCTGTTCACATCAGACAGACTGCGTCTGCACAGGTATGACTGCAGGGGGCATTTCATCTCACACTCACTGAGACTATAACTGAGGTTGAGAAACATTTTCAATGATAAAATGACACTTTTGTCATAACCTTACATATGAACATGTTTTTAAAGTATTTTACTGTTGCTTTGGCTCAGAGTTTCAGTATATAAATCGAAAAACATAAACTGCTACTTTTGGCCTTGAATTCTTAAATAGCTTTGTTGAAAATAAAAAAGTCAATTGTTGTAAACAAATAATGCTGCCAGAATAAAACCGATATTGATTATTTTTAAGGGTGGGGATAAGAATAAAAGGTGTGCCAGGTTGGTCTTTGGTTTTTCCAAGCCAGTTTAGATTTAACCACGCCTACTTCCACATTACGCAAGCTTGGACGTAGCTCTACGTGACAGCCTCATAGACGTCCTCTTCGGCAGCCGTGTAGCAACCATGGATTTAGGTAGCAACTCGCAAGCATTGCAGCGAAACGCTAGAGCGGTCGCGGTAAAGCATTAAAGTAATGAAACCATTATATATATACACTTTTATTATTTCATTTATGTACACACATATACTGTTTTTATATATTTTTTTCGTGTATGTGTTTGTATATATAACGTGACAAACAAAAAGTGTTACGTTGATTTGTTTGTCCTTCTCGGACCATGCTCTACGCATTTCAGTGGTTTTGTGTTAGAAAAGAAAGCAACCAATCAGATCTTGTGCTGGGTCTCTGGGTAGAATATCCTTCAACCAAGGTATTCTACATCCTTGATAGAATGCCCTGGCCGTTGCACTGAATGAGAGCGTACGTTTGGACTGACAGTTTGATCAACCAATCATATTGATTTGTAGCCAATGGGCGTATTCTTTCAGAGTTTCCCTCGGTTCCAGGGTGCTCTAGAACAGAGGTTCTCAATTGTTTTTCAGCCAAGGACCCCTTACAAGATAGAGAATACACCAAGGACCCCCTCATTCTGATTTGTGATTTTGGGCTATATAAATAAAAATTAACTTGATTTGACATGTATGTCCCTTGGAATAATCTGACGTAGCCTATTTTTTACACTTCTATAGTCTTAGTTATGTGAAAAAACAACACAAGACAAATGTATTAGAAAGATATTAGATATGTATTACAAATATTTGCACTATCTCAACACAGAATACCCATAAAACAATCAATAAATTAGCTGCAAGTAACACTGTACCTAAACAAAATATCAAAGGGAAATCAAGAGAAAAGTGATCATTTGAAGTGCATTTCAGAACACACACACACACACACACACACACACACACACACACACACACACACACACACACACACACACACACACACACACACACACACACACACACACACACACACACACACACACACACACACACACACACACACACACACACACACACACACACACACACACACACACACACACACACACACACACACACACACACACACACACACACACACACACACACACACACACACACACACACAAAGATAACACATCAAGTGTTTCACTCTTAGTTCAAATTAAATGATTTATAAAAGTCTAATCACAAAATAAATGCAGGCTATAAACAATTGAACACATACGGAAGAGGATTAGGGCCGCATAAAAAAAAATGTTGTGAGGATTTTAAAAAAATATTATTATTTTTTGTTCTGAGAAAAAAGTCAGAATTCTGACTTTAATCTCAGAATTCTGACTTTAATCTCAGAACAAAAAAACATTTTTTCTGAGATTCTGAGATTAAAGTCAGAATTCTGACTTTTTTCTCCCAAAAAAAAAATGTTTTTTTGTTCTGAGAAAAAAGTCAGAATTCTGACTTTAATCTCAGAATCTCAGAAAAAATGTTTTTTTGTTCTGAGATTAAAGTCAGAATTCTGAGATTAAAGTCAGAATTCTGACTTTTTTCTCAGAACAAAAAAAAATAATATTTTTTTCAAATCCTCACAAAAAAATTTTTTATGTGGCCCTAATCCTCTTCCGTAAACACATGCCTGCATTGCAACATATATCAAGTAAATTGCAAAACAACTGCAACTGCATTGCTACAATCCCAAACCACTACTTGTAATGGCAGCCAGCTCTGGACACTATTGGAGTGATGCAAGGCAGTCCATGAAGCTGATTGCAAGTGAAGACACACATATCAAACTAAATCAGGGGTTCTCAAAGTTTTGATGGGTGAGGGCCAATTTAGGTACCCAATATTGGATTGAGGGCCGCCCAAGAAAAAACGGAACACAAAATAATTCCAAAACAAATCCTTTCTTTATTGTACTAACCAATTACCGCAACTCGCAAGATGCCTAGTTGCCATGCAACCAGTAGTCTAGCAAACTTTCCACAAGCTGTCATTCATAATTTAGGAATGACAACCCAGGGGGCGCATTTTTACCATTCTTAACCCTCTGGAGTCTAAGGGTATTTTCTCGATTTTTAGATGTTTTCTTAAATCACCTTTTTAAATGTATTTCTTCTAACATGGCACCCCATGTGTTAAATATCAAAATGTTCAGGACAATATCTGGTCTTGCTATATATACATATTACTCACCTTGGAGCACTGTTTGATGAGATAAGTAGCTCAAAAGCTTAAAATGTGAAATCCGATTTTTGGAAAATCTTCAAATCTCTTGTGAAAACACAAATTTACTCATGTGATCGAATTGTTTTGGTGTTTTAGATTTGGTTAAGTCCTAGGATCACAAAAGCAGTGCAATATTTGAATTACACTGTATATAAATGTGTTATTCATGTCTAAAATGAAAAACATTAAATTCAAATTTTGAGTAAAATAGGTGTTTATCACTCTACTTTCACCACAGCAAGGACTGAGATACATTAGGACTCAATAATGACTTCATATTACATACCAAAATTCATGTGATGTGTACAAATACAAATTGAGCATTCAACCTTTTTTTTTTCAACCAACAATTTATTATAAATATGTTTTTTTCAACCAACTATTTATATAAATATAAGAAACTGGAAAATCTCACTATTTACAATATTGAACATCAGAACTTTCAACCAACTATTCATTATAAATGTCAAGACAGTGTCAAGGTCTTTGTCTGTCTTCCAAGACAGTGGGTCTGGCTGCTGTGTAGGTGGGGGTGATGGTGCATGGGCTGCTGTGTAGGTGGGGTGTACAAGTGCTATACGAGACCTCCACGAGACCTCCTTGCTGGCTGGGTTGAAGGTGATGGCTGTGGTCGAGCCTTTGTGCTGAGGTGTATCTTGACCTGGTGGCAGATGGAGGTGGAGGCAGCTGTATTGATGATGGTCTGCTGGTCCAGGTATTTCCAGTTACTTTACATTCAGTATAAAATCACAGACACACATATACATAGGCTACATCTGATTACAAAGTCTCATCTGTACAGGACGGTAAACTAATAACAGGCACACATATAAATAAATCTATGACAAAGTCTCATCTGTACAGAACAGTATGATAAAATAATCGATAGCAAAAACATGTCACTGTAAATGTCTCCGTTGTGGGACGAATAAATGATTAATTTAACTTGATGTGGTTGACCACAGATACCACCGTGCTGAGAACGGACTGTAGCTCAGGACTCAATGATTTTGACGCCAGAGCCTGCCTGTGCAGCATGCAGTGGGTAGCTGTCATCATTGGATTGCGCTCCTTGGTACGAGCAACCACCCCACTCTTGCGTCCGGTCATGGCAGCTGCCCCATCCGTGCAAATCGCAATGCAATTCTCTCAACTCACATTGCCAGTCTCCATGAACATATCTACAACATTGAAAATCTCCTCACCTGTTGCTCGCCCCGTCAACTCTTGACAAAATAAAAAATCTTCCTGAATCCTTCCTTCCCACGGGTAGCGAACCAGCGCGATGAGCTGCGCAGAGCCGGACACATCAGTGGACTCATCCAAGTGAACCGCAAATGTAGACCCTCTCAGTCTTTCCAGCAGTTGTGATTTGATATCAGCAGACATGTCCTCAATTCGTCGTCTGATGGTGTCATTTGACAGAGGTACACTTCTCAATTTGGCAGCCGCATCTTTCCCCACCATCACCTCACACAGATCCACCGCAGCAGGGAGCAGCAGTTCCTCCGCTATTGTGTGGGGATTTCGCGCCTTAGCAATCCTCTGCGCTACCAGGTAGGAAGCCCGCTGCGCTTTAGCAGAAACAGACGTAACATTAACCATCCGTTGTTGTTGCTGGCGGTAGTCCTCGCCCTTCCTCTCAAAAAAAGCCCGGTCTTTTTTTACATAATCTGGATGCTTGGTCTCGAGGTGCCTCTTCAATTTGGCAGGCTTCATCGCCTCATTGGCAAGACACCGCAGGCATATCAGACATTTCGGTTTCCCTTCCACTTCAATAAATCCATATTGGAGATACTCCTCATCGTATTTCCTTACTGTTGTTTTTTGTTTTTCATTTACTTCATTTGTAGCCGTAACCGGTCGTTTAAAAAATCTGTCCATCTTCGTAGTATGCTAGCCGTGTTATATCTCTATGATGCTAGCAGCGGCGCTCTCTGACTGACGTACCAGTTATTGTTGTTTCTACGGTAACGGGTGACGCGCTTGATTTTTAAATGTATAGATTTGTTAGATTAGAACGTAATCTATGAACTATTTTAGATTAAAAAAATGTAATATTATTTATTGAACTATGAAGCCTTTTGTAAAAAAAAATATATATATGATAATTTAAATGAATGAATCTGAAAACTTTTCACGGACCCCCTGGCAGAGTGCCACGGACCCCCGGGAGTTCGCGGACCCCACTTTGAGAACCACTGGCCGCTAGTTAACTGGCTCGAGACAGAGGATAGATGAATGCGACGAAGCAATTCATGCCGTTTTATTGTTTTTAACGTTGAAATGACAAGTGCTGTGCAACAGGTGAAAATGAAGTTGTTGCGGAATTGTTGTGAGTACCCTTTTCAAGACGACAATTCTGTGAAAAGACGGACATTGTAATGCCGCGGAGGGGGGGGGGGGG